TCTTCCCTCTGTGACTCGCCCTCGAGCCGGAGCCCCAGGCGGGCTGGGGCCATGGTGGGGAACAGCGCTGACTCCTGCGCCGCGGCCGCAGGGAGAGAACCTCTGCAGCGCTGCTCCCATCATCGACATGGACAGCAGTCACTGCCCTAAAAATCATGCGTTTCACAGCCTCTTTACGTGGCTTGTACTGCTAGAGCTGTAACATTACGAGGTATTTCTGTGACAAAAAACCGTAGGGCAAAGCTGTGAGATCATGTAGTCTATATGAGCTGCTACAGCCACGCATCTCCTAAGCTTTTCCCAATTTTCTAGCTCATTCCCTACAACACCAGGGCCCTGCCAAAACTAAGGTCCACCTTCTGAATTTTTGTTTACAAATGGGATTATAACTTCCTGGTTCAAAACCAGAGTGCTCCTCATGGTTAATCTCTAATATGATGCAGTCATTTCTTCAGATTTTTAAAATTTTTAACTCAATCCTTGCACTTGCTTCCCCCTGCTCTAAACTGCCCAGCTTGGTATCTGCTTCACCATCAAGAACACATCCACATGCCTCAGGGAAGGGAGCATAGCCACAGTTATCCTTTTTCAGTGCAAAGGGGGTTTCCTGCACCAAGCCATAGCTCTTGTGTGGCTGCCAGTATTCTTACTGTGCCAAACAATTTTACATAAATTGCTCTCTGCTACCACCCATTGCCTTCTCAGCTTCATTGTTCATTGGGTTAGTCTCAATTTGTGTGCATGTGCTTGATTTAATTTTCTTTGTACAAGCCTGATTGACTTGGGTTCTTTCAAAGTAGTACTTGCCACTGATTTCTGCATATATTGTTGCACCACTCTGGGTTCCTTTGCATTTTTTCACAGTTTATCTTAATACATTTTGATATTTAGTGCAAAAGAATGCATGCAAAAAATCAGTGCAGAAGAACTCCTATGCATTATCATCACACTAGTGTCTCCTAATCTCTCTTCCCAGGCTGGATGAGATTTATAGCCCCAATTTGACTGGCACTTCAAACTCCTTCAAATCTCGTGCCATCAAATTAGCACACATTAATTGAAACCAGAAACTCATGAAAGTATTCATTAATTTTCTCTTTCATGGATGAAGACCATGAGAATTTGTCCTCTTTGTCTCTGAGATCATCAGCACATCTGTGACCACACCTTAGAGATCTGCGCTGCCAAAACTTGCTCAAAATTCAAACCTTCATGTACAGTCAATAGTTTCTGTTAAGGTGCCAAATTTCAAATTTCAGTAGGGCTTAATTAACATTAGTCTATTGAGTGAATGCAACTGACAAACACCAGGTTTGCAGTGCTACAGTTAACAATAGCTGGTGTATGTTGTGTTGCTTTTTAATGACAGTGCCTATCACTTAAAACTTATTCCATAAGAATTACTTTAAATTTCATATTTCTCCCATGATATGTGTTAAATTATGACATTTAAGTGTATGTAATTCTCACCTCCAGGACATCTTTGGTCTTTGAAATCCAGAACTTATATTTTTTAAGTTCATCTTGGCTTGCTTGGAATGCTTTGAACTGCTTATCTTTTGATTTTATCAGTTTCTTTTTAATAAACAGAGCACAGACCTCTTATTTTGTAGTTCAAAGGAGATGAAGAAAACATCAGTCAGGATGTCAGGTACTTAACACCATAAAGATGCTTTTCTTAAAAAGGCTGCCAAAATAATTTTGTAAAATCTAATCTCTGTCTCATGTTTCTAGGTAGCCAAGTATCACATTGACTTCAAGGAAATGTATGCTTTTAGATTCTGTCTAAGTTAATCCCTAATTTATCCACAAGCCAGTACTACTTAAGACAGTTTTAAGCATTTTATTCATGTATAGAAAGAACTGGAAAGAATTTTTAGCGGGAGCAGACAGCACTGTCAGGAGTACGCACAGCCAGCCATACAGCTGAGCAGCAGCCTGTTTGCCCACAACTGCCCCCTTCCCTTTCTGCCCATGCTTTTTACTCCAAATCACCATGACCCCTCCCTTTCTTCCTTTTTGTTTCTGGCTCTAAATGTCCCAGAACAGATTTTATGCAACTCCCAGTCTGCTCCAACATCCCATCAGCTCATGCATCTGTAGGTCACTAAACCCATGAGGTGACCCAAGAGCTTGCCTGGGGGTACCTCTCCTGAGATGGCCCAGAAAAGAAGGCAAGAAGGTTCAGCTTCAAGAGCTCCAGTTCAGTATTTGGCTTCTCCTTGCCCTTGCTCCTCTGTGCTTACAGGAGCTGAGCCTTAATCCCAACCCACCATTCACCAAGGTCCCAAAGCAGGTGGGCTGCACTGCCACCTCTCTTCCCAGGATGTGTCCCAGCCTGTTTCAGCTCCTGCATGGGCAGCACTCCCCGCACAGAGGCTTGCTGCCACTGCAGGTTCTGAGGGCTGGCTGATGTGGGTGACTCCAGCGTGCTGAGCCACACAGCCCCACACCTCAGGAGAGGAGCTGCCAGTGGCAGATGCACCTGCACAAGTTACCTCTTTCCTTTGGCCTGCTTTCCATTTGTGGAGATGACATTTTATTCACATAACCTAAAACAAACCAGAATTACATGTCTGAAACATGATGAGAACATCAGTTTAAAAGCAATTCTGCCACAATCACCTGAGCCAAAAATGCATCTGGAAACACTGCTCTGCCACATGCCAGCCTTTTCCCAACAGTTCCCCTTGCAGCATGGCCTGAAGGGCACCTGCCAGCCAAAACAGACCATGTTGTGAGCACAAGGTGAAAACTTTTCCATTTCAGAGAAAAAAAAAGCTGAAGCAGTTTCTTCCTAAGAACGTGTATGTGATACTTTTACAGGGGAACAGGGCAAATGACCTGATTTTACTACCTTGTATCTGTTGTGGTTTCCACATAGCACAGAGCAATTGAAACAAAACACTTAAAGCTGCTAAGAAACTAATAAAACAACTAGAAATCTTATGCTTTGTTTTTAAACTTAGATCCATATATAAGGATCAGCTGCAGTTATTCACACAGCACTATTCAATTATGCTCCAAGTCCATGTTTCCTAAAAGGTTTCTTCAAGGACATAAGATTTAAATCTTACAGTAGAGTCAATGTTAAATTAATGTGTTTGCAAACATTGGCCTTTCTCCACGGAACAGTTAGCATGAACATACACATCTGCACTGATAAATTGTAGCAAAACTATTTCTACCTACAAACAGGGTGGTTTGCCTGCACAGAGGCAGCCAGATGGTCTATCTCCATAATAACCAGGTTTCCATAGACTGATTCTGTTTCTGTAGAATCATGGAATAATCTAAGCTGAAAGGGCTTGGTGGAGGTTGAGCCTGTTACTCAAAGCAAACCTAACTTCAAAGCTAGATCAGGTGGCTCTGAGTCTGTCCATTTGAGTTTCAAAAATTTCCAGTGATAGAGAATTCACAATCTCTCTGGGTACTGCTCTAAGTCCTGGACTATTTTAGTGGTGATTCTTTAGATTTTATTTCATGTATGCAACTGGAATTTCTCTCACTGCAGATTGTTGTCCTTTTACTGGGCACCTGTAGAAGAGTACAGGTCTCTCTTCCATAAGTTCAGTTTAGCCACCACCTTTACCTTTTCTTCTACAGGCAGAACAGTCTCAGCTCTTCATGGATCACATACCCCAGCCCCACTACCATCCTCTAAGCTCCTCTACCAGGCTCTATTTTGTTGGCAACTCTTGCACTGCAGGAGCCAAGCTGAGCACAACACTCCAGGTACTGGTTTCACAAGGAAGGGGAAGTAACCACTTCCCTCAGCCTGCACACTGACCCACACTTCCAGGCTTTCACTCTTCACAACTGACCCCAGGCCCTTTTCTGCAAAGCTGCTTTTTATCCAGCCTATCTGTCCACAATCTGGCTACAAAAATGCTTTGGGAGATTTTGGCACCTAGCCTTAGAGGATTTAGCTTCAGTATTAATAAGATCACCTACAAATCTACCAAAATGGCATCTCTTGCTATTCAGGTTAATTTCTTTTGGCTCTGCCTGACAAGGAAAACATCAAACCAAAGGGCCTGCCCAAAGACATGCATCTGGCACTGTGAAGTTCTACCCATGGATTAATTTTTTCCTGAAGAGGAGGCTGGTCTTTGTTGATAGTATTTCATCAGTGAAAACAACTATACTAAAATGAAAACAAAGTAGTAAACTCCATCTTTACCAGCATCACCTAATCAGGTGTTTCAGTTGTCTGAAGAGCTAGGTGTAATGTCTATATGTTGTCAAAACCGTCTCAAGCTGATAGTGATTTTATTATATTTGCAGAAGGCATCACTTACAAAGAAATATTTTATGAGATGTTCTGTGGTTTCCCACTTAAGTTAAAAAGAGGTGGAATGCAGCAATTTCACTAAAAAAAAAAAAAAGACAGGTATCATTTTTATAATCCATCCTTATTACAAGAGCCATGTTAATGCTATGAAAATGTGAGTCATAGTACAGTTTTTACTTCTGGAAAACCACAGAATTTGTTAAAAAAATTACAGAGAGTATTTAACAAAATAAGAGTATTTCTAACCAGACTCAGTTGATACAGGACTACACAGAGCAGTCATCAGTGACTGCTTGTCAATTCTAACATCTGAGGTGGGGTACTCAACTACACTGGTCCTTCTGGGAGAAGCCTATGTGAAATACTAAACAATATTGTTTTAAATATACAGTGAATCAAGCATTCAAAAGAGCTTGCCTAAATACCTCTAACAATGGTAAACAAGACAAAATTTTGCCAGTCAAAACTGTTGGGTTTCTTTCCTTTGTTGAATCATAAACCATCTGAAAACTTGTTAATGTAATTCTGTCAAATCTTAATCAGATTCATTATCAGGAATTGCATGATCCTTTGGGCTTAAAAGGATTCTCAATTGCAGACTGAACTATATAAAAAGCATTTTTCATAAAAACCTCTCAAATTCTACAGAGCTTCCTTAATTTATCTAAATGTCAATATTTCTGGTTCAACAAGTCTCAAAACACAATTTAGCCAGCACAATAGCTTTATTTTACAATTTGAATTATTATACACAATTCAGTAAAAGTTTGCAGGAGGAACAGCATGGAGACATACCACTTTTTGGTATTTCCTTTAACTAGAGCCAAAGTGCAAGGTCTCCAATTAACTGCCAAGGTAAGAGAACAATACTTGGCTGTTAACACAAGTCATGTTAACACTTAAAACTTAAAATCAGTTAATGAAAAGGCCACATCTTCAGACACAATTATAAGTATTTTAATAAACTTTTGGTTTCTTTTGGTAAGATAAATTGCCACATATCCTACAGCTAACAGGTAATGGAACATCATGTTTTCCCAAGGCATGTAAGAAAGCCAACAACACCACCTCTGCATTATTCCATATACCTTAAAAATGAATGCCAAAAGCAACTATTCATGTGAAATTTTATTTCCTTCAGACATGCTGATACTCTTCTTAAGAAAAAATAAAGGAAAAAACAAAGGAAAAAAAGTCCAATTCAAACTTTTCCATATACATTATCTTGAGGCACAGGTTCCCCTACCATTAAATGAAATTTTTACACAGGCTATATCATATATTACAGCATTGTTCCTATTTTAAGTTATGGCACATTATGTTCCTGGGGTGAACAAATTATCCTCTGTGTTCAGCTGCTACAATATGACAAAAAGTTAAAAGTTAACACCATAACTAAATACTCTGATGCTTTTTTGCTGGCTATTTTTGGGGTGCACATAAATAAAAGGCACACTTTTGCTGTCTCCTCTCAAATCATTTATGTAATGTACAAGCCTAACTTCCCAGCACTGCTCCAGGCCTGCTGGCCCAGTGCAAAAAAATATTTAAGTCAGCTTCTAGTGCTAGTAGCAGCTTTATATGCTTAACCGATGGCTTTAGTTTAGCATGCTACTTCCACTGTGGTGACTACTGATGACAGGCCAACAGTGTTCCTGAAAAAGAAAATTACAAATCCTCGAAAAAGTAAACGACGTTAAAAATAAAATTATTTATATTCACTTACATGTCTATTCTCCAGATGTGTTCACAATGTTCAGAAAGTGCACATTTTGAAGTCTTGTTTCAGTATTACAAATGTCTATGACCTACACATTATACCAGTGCCACTTACAACAGTATAGTTGAAGAACTGTCAATCCTGCCACGACTGACCCTGTTCTGCAAGAGCATCATGAAAATACAAGAATTTGCTCTTAGCTAGAACTTAGTGTCCATAATGTCTTCAGTATGGTATTTTAAAATATTTGCATTGAACTCTGTACAGCAGTTAGAATCTGAAAAGTAGAAGTTTAGTAGTTTCACTTTTTGGCGTTCATTTTTACTTAAAATATTTTCAAGAATGGAAGTAATCTTACAGCACATGAAGAACCTTCAAAAATAAAAGCTCCACTTAATATTACACACTGTTAAAAACTTACCCCATAAGATTTAGTTACTGATTTGTGAAACCTTACAAAATTACTTGTCGTGATTTAACAACAGATAACATTGATGAAATTAGCCTATATAAAAACAACTTAGGTCTTAACATCAATGGTCTGACAAACAAATTTAAACAAAAATATTCTGGGTTAAGACTAGTGCTAAATTTAGCTCCTAAATATAGCTAAATTTAAGTTTAAGTGTTTAGATACTCTCGATTTAATATGCCTTTAAAGAAGGCATATTCAGAGGAGTCATTCAGAGGAGTCTGTAAAGGAGCAGTTTTAAGTAAGTCTGGAATAATTAGGTATTGTGGCTAGTTACCATAAATATTGATTACATGCTGACTTGACAAGGTTGTGTAAAAAGAAGTGTAAATTGAACCACTACCTTTGAAGGTTCTTGCTTTGGTTATCTTTTAAAAAAAAATCTGACTGTTAAAGTAACAGTGCAAGTTCACTATAAAGCCACATGCTTCTTTCTCGATGTTCTCTTACCAATTGGTTTTTATTATGTCCACTGCCAGCAATGGACATTCTGCTTGGAAAATCCACTTCCTTCTGTGAAAGGTTTGGCTAAACCAAATGAAGAAAGTAATTCTGATATCAACTCAAATGGGAACACACTATTTCATTGAGTTCTTGTTCAGAGTATTTAAAAACCTTCTTCACCTACAGTATTTTTGAAACACAAGGCACAAATAGGGAGTGGACATTCCAGCAAAAGGTGATTGTCTGAAATTAATAGTCCACAGCAGTCTTCTAGTCCAGCACAACGAAAGATTCTTGCTGTCCAATTCTATGCCACGTCTTCTAGATAATCTGCAACGTCGCTTAACTGAGAAATGGTAAGGTCTTGTGTGATGCTTTCGAGCTAGAAAATAAAAAAAATTGCAAGCTCAGAAACCACAAAACCAGTAAGTATTATGTCATGTATTCCTTCATATGCTTTCATATACCTTTTGGCCTCAAGCTCTTTCAGTGAGATTACACAATCCTTTACGAGGTACTCAGACAGATCTGGAGATACTGGGGTAAACCTTTGTATGTTAGGCACTGAACCAGCTTCCAATACATTTTACATACCTAGAAAGGCACAGTGAGTTGTGCTACTGAACAACTGTTGCAGGGTTTTTGTTTTGTTGGGATTTTGTCAATCAATATAGCATCTAACTTAGCAAGGATACTAGGTGTAAAAAACAGAATGTAATGAATAATTAACCTTAACATACAACCTAGGAACTAAGGAGAACAGCATGGTACTTCACAGAAGGTTGGAAACAAAGTCAAGACAAGATCAGAAGAATATAAAAAACAACTATTCAAAAATAAGCATACTTTATCACTGGCATTTGATTCTTCTGTTCCCACAGAAATTTCATCTATTTCTTCACCAATACTGATGTCACTTTTTTCTGAGCGATGACTCGTACTAAAGAGAAAGCAAACCATAAGCACAGAAATAAGATTTCCTTATAAAACATCCAGGTATGACATTTATTTTGTACCTGGCATTTGATTGGAATTGCACTTCCTAGCAAGTCAGATGTGAAGTTCCTAACAACTAAAGGCTTTCTACCTAAATGAAGCCATAATAAATGCTGAGAAATACTTAGGCCTCAGCCATGCAATTTACAACACAAATACCTTCACATCATAAGTGTGAGGCTATTAAATATTTATTCATGATGCTTTATTTTACAATTGAGTATCTCAGTATACAACATAATTATTGACTAATTGCATTAATTGCTAAAACATTATTAAGTGCATGGCTCAGGAAAAACACCAAACCCTTTCCACAAAAACCCAACATAGTATTCATGCTGAAGTTAGCAGTAGGTTTTTAAGGAACTCATTCTCCCTATACAAAAAGAGATATGGTTTGGTTGCTTTTTTAACTGGTAACTAAATCTATTACAATACCAAACTGAAGTTTAAAGGAGTTCAGAAATACTCAGTGATAGTGGTTGTCTCCCATATTATGAAATAATTAAAATATGCTAGTGGATATGCTTATACTGCATAAAGTACTACCCCTACTGGGGAATGATCCTTCTCTTACCTGTTGAAGTCATCAGCATATTCATCATCATCTCCATTTCCTAAATAAGATTTAAAAGCTATTAATCAAACAAGTTCTCTTCAGGAAACACAAAATCCCCCAAACTGTTCCTGCACCAAAATACATGGTCTGATGACCAGCAAAAGTGGAAGTAGATTAAATTAGTTACACTGATTAGGAAGATGAGTTGTGTTTGCCATTATTTAATCTCAGTATTATTAACATAAACGGTTTCAAAACTGAACATACATTTTCAGGACATTAGCTGCATTGCTGAGTACAAAACTTCAAATACTTGACAGCTCTATTTTGAGAGAATTTTTCCATCACACCTTCTTCATATTCAACCAAAAGAAAGTCAACTTTCAGAGGTGTGGAGGGACTCTAAATATGCCACTGAAAAGCAGTAATATTTACCAGGCTATCTTGTAACAAAAATATAAATCTGCTCTTTTCATAGAAACCTCAACAACAAAATTCATCACTTGGTATTAGTAAATGCATGCAAAGAATGAATCAAAATTTTGCTCCATGTGTAAAATATTAACCCACAAGAGACCAATTTTCACTTTTCTGGATTTCTTTAGATCACATGTTACTTTTAACTATAATAACCTTCACAATCTACGTTAAATAGAATAACATAAGTAAAAACTGAAGATTTTAGTTCAATATGTGTACTTGAGTTTCTCAGATTCCTCTAAGAAGCTGGGGCAGAATTTATCAGTTATGGCCAACCAAAAATATCAGAGCTTCCTCATGTTTAGCAGTTACTTGCCTAATTCTAGTGATCCCAGCTTTGAATTCACCAACTGCAGGTCTTTTAAAACAGAGTTTCTATCCAAATCTGTAAACAAAAGCATTTATATCAGAAATTGGACTTGTCACTCATTAGTAAGATCCTTACTTACACATACAAACTAACCATTTATAACACCTGTTCTTTTATATCAACCTTATGTCCTTTTGTAGTATAGTACAGCAATATAATATTGTATTTTCACAGCTGAAATCTGGTAACAGTTAAAAACTCAAGGAGTAAACAGGAATAATTTCTTACTTCTCAGGGATTCACAACATGAAAGCAAACACCTCTAAAGAATTGGTACAAATAATTTAAGATAATACAAAGGAATAAACCAATTTCATTTAAAAATGAGCAGTAGAATTATATACTCCTTTATACACAGAAAAAAAAAAAAGGATGTAGATAAGTATTTCATGCTCCAAAGCATAAAATGCCCCAGTGGTAGCACAATATATCCAAACCATGCCATCACTCTCTAAGATAGCACTACTGTAAAGCACATTACTACCAGAAGTGGGCCACATAATCTACCATTCTTCCATCTGAACTTGTAGCTCATTCATTGCATTACAGAAATAAGCTCTACAATCATCAAAACACAAAAAATTATGAAAACTTACTATCAGACTCCTTTAGTAAAGGTGCACCAGTCAGGGAGCTTAACCCACTTTTTAGAGCTGGTGCATCAGAAAGGGATGCTAGACCTCCTGCTTTATTAGCTTCAGTTTTCCTGTAAAAACCAAATAAATAAGTACTCCACTCCCAATAAGAACTACAAAATATGCATCATTACTTTCTTTTCTGTTATTACATTGTCATAAAACTAAAACAGCAATACTACAACAAAATAGAGCAAGGAAAAAGCCCTGGTTCACTGCAACCTTAAAAGCAGTAGGCAGTTCACTGGCACAAGTGTCAACCACAACACTGACTGACTGAGAAAGCCACTTTCTCACCCATGCAAAGACTTCCGCCTGTCTTCTCCCACAGACAGAGCACCTTCATCAGCATCACTATTTATGTCTAGGGGCCTTTCATCACCCCCACGTGTAAATGCAGCCAAAAGAAAAAAGATTCAGATATAAATCAGTACTTCAGTTTGTTTTACATCTTAAAGAGATTACTTCTGATGAAGATATTAATTCAAAGAGCAGTCAGTTTACAGAATGAAAATCTCTTGGTTATAGGAAGATAGATATCACCACATGTTCATTTGGCTACTACCTAGTTCAAATCCTACTTGCAAATAAAGGATAAATAAACATAAATAAAAAGAGACCAAGGTTTTCACATTTAGTATTTCCAGAACTTTTTGCTATTTTGATTCCATTCCTATAAATAATGGGCAGAATTTATTATATCTAGATCACCAAAATATCATGTGTAACATCCTATGTTAAAGTGCTTCAATATTTTGAACAATGGGTTAGAAACCTAGAGATAATGATTGCCTGGATCATCTCTCACACTGTCATTAGCAACTGCTTGCTCTGAACCCATCTTAAATTAACAGGCAAGATTTCCATAAGGAAACTACCTTTTTGAAAAGAAAGCAATGCTGGCAGCTGTCCTACTTATTTACCCCTTGAGACTCCAGCACACCAGCACAAAGTACCACAAAGGAGATTCTACCTGAAGAACATGGCGGGGGGGGAGGTTTCCCTCTAGAAGAATTGTCAGGAAGGTAAAAATGAGCAATTCAGCGCACACAGCTCAGCTACAAACAGCTTCTAGCTCATTTGCTGGTAACACATTCAGCACACCTTATTATGGGATGTTACTAGAATGGCTGCATCACAGTAACACGTGCTACAAAATACTACTTGTGGACTGTGACTCCACTACAGACAGACAATGTGGAAACAATTTTTTCTGTAGGGAGTTTCTCTACTAGGAAAAAAAAAAAAAATCCTTGCTTTACTAAATAATTAGCCTGGTTTTAGGATTGTCTTTTAGAAGAAATCTAGTTTACCCAGTTTCAAAGAAAATTTCCCTTGCTGTCATATGAAAATGTTCAAAAAATAAGAAATTAGTAAATACTATTATGCAAAAGTTTTTGCAGTTTTTTCTAATTACCCAACTTATCATTTAGACTATCTGCTACAATGGTTACTTTGGTTAAAGGCTAGCTAAACAAGATCTCAAGTAAGGACGAGTAAATGCATTCAGAAACAATTTTAATCTTGATATTAACAAGGAGAAAAGAAATACTATAGTAGGGTTAGTTGTAACACACAGTATTTTCCAGAGTACAATCACTGCCCTTTGAGGAAAAAAAAGTCTACTCCAATGAAAAGCATCCAACAAAAGCTGTATTATAAATAATCTTTCACAAAGAGTACATTAATTTACTAGAGACAGACTTGGTTTACCTGGTATGATGACTTTGTGCTCTACTAGAATGATCCTTCTCTAAGACTAAGCATCTACTGTAGCACTAATGCAAAAAAGCTTATGCTGCTCTGCCCACTATCAGCATAGTGGGTGAAAAGTCAACTGCCAAACCAATTTACAAATGATCCTGCAACCTCTTCTTAATGTCTGCTAAGCTGAAGTAGTTCTCTGATTACTTAAGCATAGCAAAAGGATACCATGAAATGATCCTGCAGCATTGCTCAATACAGTGGCATCTAAGTTATCTAAGTTAAGCTTCAATATAACATAACACAAATGTTTCAGTCTTATAACAAAGCTGCTGCATAGGTCAGTCACTAGTTCTTGTTTCAAATGGCATTTTTCAGTCATCACACTCCACAGATGAACAATAAAAAATGTGCTTTGCGTGCATCTGCAAAACTGGCACATGCAGCAGTAACAGCACTTCACTGAAAACACAAGTAGTATTGCAATGTGAACAGAAAATCCTCAGCTGCAAGGAAACTTTCCTTATTATTACAGTCTACGGAGCCATTTAGAGGAATACAAAAAACACTGTTTAGAGTGTTTTTTGTATTCCTTACAAAGCTGAACCAATATTTAATGCGCTGTCCCTGTCACTGTCCACTTCCTTTAGTAAAGATCATCACTGCAGCTCTGTTCCAAAAATAAATACTCATGTCTGTGCCTCATACATGTTCATTCCACCAAAGAAACAGGCTGGGGATATTAGATGCCCTAACTGATGCATCTTAAAGTGATACAGGCTTTTCCACTCGTAGGACATCCAAGAAATCCCAGAGAACACTGTGCATAGAATAGCATAGACTAGACTAGACTAGAACAAAATTAGAGACATTAATATTTTGGAAAAAAAATGTTCCAAAACAACACTTACAAAAGCAAATAATCAAGTAACTAATAGCTCTCAAAGGTCTGCAAGCATTCAGAGGACAAAATAAAACATGTATTAAGAACACCCACATTACCTACCAGCCATAAGTTCTTTCTGGTTTGGGTACAGGATCATCAAAGAAAGAATCTCCCTCTACATCATCTTCACCCACAACTGGATCGTTTTTTTCTTTGGTATTCAAGTCTTTGTTTTCTAGTTGAAGATCTAATTTTGTTTCATTCGGCAGAAAATGAATACTTCTTTTGCTTGCCTCCCCTGATGAGACACTTGTATCACTCTGACTGTTTTCAGCAGCCTTGAAAGATAAAGACAGGATTGTAGGTATTCATGTCATGTAATACTCTAAGTATATATATAAATGCACAACACATAACATACACCTAGCATCACTTCTTAAAAAGGAAGCAAGTTCATTAGTATTGTCAAGAGTCACACCATAAAATGTTTTATCACTTCACAAAGTGTTCTTTATTGCGGCTGCCATTAAAATCTTCTGTTCCATCCTGTGCATTGCTATGCTATCTACACCACTTCTATTATAAAAGCAAACAATTTTAAAATATCTTGGTTATCAAATAAAGAAATCTACAGACTGATTCTTACACTTTATTCATGTTATTTTGCAATATCTCTACAAACAAAGGTTCTTAGTTATAGCCACTGTCTTCAAAATAAATCAATTTAAACCCATGAAAATTACTCTAAATTCCCTACTAAATGGGAATCTCTGCAATATAGTATTAGGTATTAAAGTAATAGCGTAAGAAAATGAGTTACTAACACATTCTCTCAAATACTAAAATAAAAAATGACAAAAGCAAGACTTTAAAAGTACGTATTTTTCAGTCTTCTTCTCATGCTTATGGCTCAGTCCTAAAGTCTGGAACCTAAGGACAATTCCATGTGCAACCTTTCACATCAAGTCATACAACTCAAACTGTAACTTAGCATGGCTTTGTGGCCCAAAAAACAATATTCTAATTTACCTAGATAATCAAGGTGCCGAGAAAGAAAAATGTTTTTATATTATTACCTAGCAAGGAGTACTACTATTTTTACTTTCTCCTAGACTTATTAAAATTAAGCCAGTAAAAGATTTATGACACTAGCTTCCTTTCTACAAACTAATAGCAGCACAGTTTTGAAACGAAACAAAACCAAAAGTATTATTTAATCCAGACAGCCAATGCAGGTTGTACTGTCTGAAGTATTTTTTATCAGTCATTAACTTTCATTCAGAAGGCTAAAGCCAAATTTTCAAACTAAAGGCCATGAAAGTTAAAATTACCTTGGCAGGTCTTTTTCATAGCAACACTATTTTATCTCAGCCACAGAATCATATTCAATTGCTGGCAGTAGCTCAGTTTTCTTAGGGCAGGAAAAAGTACTTAAACTCACAAGTGGTAGTAATAAAAATATTTTGATTTCCTATCCAGAGTAACAGAATTGTTTTTGAAAATTAAGAGCTTGATGATAGCCTGGCTACAATAAAAGGGAAACTACAGCTACTTATCCGTTCTGGGCCCTGTACTATGTCATGCCAGAAAAGTATAAGCACAACAGTTCATCTTTGTTTGGAATCATAGATGAAAGTTTTGCTGAGTGGAATAAACATTTTCAAATTGCAGATCATTTAAGTGAATGCTGTCATATCTGCCGTTTCACAAGAGTTCTCTCTTTTACTCATCTCATGTATGTTACAACGCTTTTCATTATATATAATCTTACCTTATTTGGTATAGAGTGTGCACTTGACCGTCCTTCAGATGATTTTGATGTGGGGCACTGGCTGTCACTTAAAACTGGAGCCACCTAAGAAGTTTCAAGTAAGTACTTACTAAGACATATTTAAAATTAAACTTATATTTAATTTTGTAATAACTGGCACTGGTGAGGTTGCATCTCGACTACTGCATTCAGTTTTGGGCCCCTCCCATTAGAAAAGATATTGAACATATCCAGAGAAGGGCAACGAGACTAATGAAGAATCTAGAAAACATGTCCTAAGAAGAACAGTTGAGGCAGCTGATCTAAACAAGAGGAGGCTCAGGGGAGATGTAGTGAGGTGGGGACCAGACTCTTCTACTGTGGCTACAGTGAGAGGTCTAGAGGAAATGGCTTTAAGATGAGACAGGGGGGAATTCAGATTACATATTAGAAAAAAATGCTTCACTGTTACAGTGGTCAGGCATTGGAACAGGTTACCCAGAGGGGTGGTGGAGTCATCATCCTTGTAGGTGTTCAAGAAGCATCTGGATCTGGTGCTGGGTGCTGTGGGTTAGGGGTTACAGTGATGGTGCTATGCTGCTGCTTGAACTGGATAATCTTTCAATGGTTTCTTTCAATCTAAATGATTCTCTGATCCTATGATAATTGCATCCAACAAGAAACAAGGCTACCACCCTCACTTGGACAGTATGCAAACCTTGACACTGGGAAGACAACTGAAGGTAGAACTAGAGAAAATTGGGAAGTTTACAGTCACACACAGTATGGAAATCACAGAGTGAGGTGATCCAGGAGGGGGTCTAGGGGATTTGACTCTATACACTGCTGGCACGTGTCCCTCAGCAAGTCAGTTAAACACCCTCCCAATACAGTGGAGTGCTCAGCGGAGTCCCCATAACAGGACAGACTGGCAAGCACAAGAGCCTTGACTTTCCTGGGGCATTCCCAGACAAATACAAGGAAACAATAAGTCTCAAAGAAATCCCACTGTCACATGACAGAAAATGATAATGTTAAGAAGTCTATGACAACTACTCCTGAATTTAAGCTTTCTTTGGGACACTGAATACATCCTGGGTATAGAGAACTTTCTTTCAAATCACAATCAAATGCTATTGGTTGGGTTTAGTTCACTTAATCAACAAATTTATTATCTATTCCATTCAAAAACTACTGTCACTGTCTTCAAATAGTTAAATACTTTGATATATTTAATTTAAGTACATATCTTTTCAGTACAGCTTTAAAGCTTTTGACAAAACTCATCTGAGGCTTTTCAGGTCATATTAAAATAAGAAGTATGCCAAGGAAAATAGGTATAGATGTAAGTGTTACCAAACCACACCAGAAATGAGAAAATAAGTGACACAGTGTTTTGTGTCATTCATCTAGATTCACTCTGTGCTAGTCTGTTGTAGCAGAATATTAATAAAGAGCCCTAGGGTGATATTAAAAGTAATACTCATAAAGTTTATCTCTTTATTTCTCTGATTAAGTTGAAGGCATAATATAACAAAGACGTGTAACAGTATAATCGTACAACAATAGCCAAGTGTTCATAATTTCAGTTTTTCATCATTAAAAGGAAGAATAAATAATTATAAAGAAAGAAATTTCAATTTAATATTACTTACTTCTCCACCACCTGAATTCTTTTTCTGCTGACACTTCCTAACAACCTCCAACAACAGGGGGCCACCTATACTACCTTCCGCTTCTGTAATTCCCAAATCTCGAGCTAAGTTTTCTCGACCATCAAGACCATTTAGCTGGAGGGATAACAGAAGAAAAAAGAATCACAACATCAAAATAACTGCCAGAAAACAAAAGATAAATTTTGTAATACAAAAAAGTCTTATTTAACACAGCTCTACCTGAACTAAACAGTGATTATTTATGTTGTCTTGTTGCTGGTGGACTAAAGTAATAAAATCATAGAATCACTCAGGTTGGAAAAGACCCTTAAGATCAAATCCACCACTACACCATGTCCCTAAGTGCTTCATCTACACCTCTTTTAGATACCATCTATTGCATAATTTACTTCTGATCTGCACCTGAACTTGTCACAGACCATGCAAAATTTTACATATGCAAGAAACTATCATTAGCATGCTTAGGGATTTAAGAATTTATATGGCCAAATTACTTTAGCCTATCACACTTAAAAGTGGATCCAAGGACACCCAGCCAGCAGTCCCAGCAAATTCATGGATGACGGGGAGTCACCCTTCCTGTGCATACAGAATTCCGCTTGCACAGGTTAACACCTACTTTCAGTCTCTGTTTCACATTAAAAAACACATGGGTTTGGACAGAAAAAGGGATGAAAGCAATTTGGTGTCATCCAAAAAAACCCACAAAAAAACCCCAACAATACTTTTTCAAAATGAACTTCACACTATAGGAGAAGCAAAATGCTACAGCAAACCCAGGCTGGTTAGCACAGCCCCAGATAGCAACACTGAAAAGGGCACCAGTTCATCTTGACCTCTTGAGCTACCACTAACCAAGCACACTGGATAATGAGACAGCACAAGAAACTGCTCAGAGGCAGAGGCTAGTAGAGACAGACAAAGTCAAATCTCTCAGCACCCTCCCTACCCAGCAGTCTTGGCCAGCTCAATTAACTTTGGCCAAATTTCCTTCATGCTCTTCAACACGTGAAATGGACACATTTACTGGGAAACACAAGGGGGCGTTTCAAAGAGCATAAGATGCCTTTACAATGCAAATGAAGCACTGCTCCCAAGAATGAGTGGCTGTTTTTATTTGTTTCTATTTGGTAGCATGAACATGAATCTTTGTACATATGTGTTCTAATAACTTAGCAACTAATTTTGGATATCTTTGCCAAGGATATTTGGCAAAGAACAAAGTTGTATGGGATTTTCTTTGAATAAATCCCTAAAATGAAATATGAATTTATGAGAAATAGAAGTCAACTGATTGATTTGAAAAAATTGGATTTTTAATATATTAACTATTTAAACCAAGTTCAAGAAAAAAAAAGAAGTACTTGAGATATAATGAGAAATTCTGCAGTGAAATGAAACTGCTTTAAACTCAAAATTATTATTAAAATCTTTATATCATAAAAAGAGAAAGATGATGGAAACCCTCTAATTTAGTACCTAAAGCCTTAAAGCAATCAGTTGGGCCGCATAATCACTGTAGGTCCCTCCCAACTGAACTACTCTATTCAAACACTTTTTGTCAAGTATATCTACACAAAGTCCTTTTTGTCACTGAAATTTCTTTCAGAGCAGATGACTGACATTATTTTAGTTTTCATGTAACAATACTAACTTAATATTATGACATAGTAAAGTTAGTGGCAAAAAATGTTGCAGGGGTATGCAGGTATGTAGCATTATATAATGCCACAAAAATTATCAGCTTGTTAATTTAGAATTAAATTACTATCTAGCATTGATTTGGATAAAGAGAAATATTAATATTAGCCTACTTTCCTGAAAAATGTATTTTCATTACACTAAGTATCTATTACAGACAAAACATAAAAACCACATTTTTAATAAAAATAAGTATGTGATTTAAATAAATCTGACATAGCTTCTGCATTCATTGCCACACACTTCAAACAGTGAGCACTGTATACAAACAAAACCAGTCTATCTTACTGTGCTTGATTCAGGCTGAAAAACAGCTAAAGTAAAATCAAGATTGAAAAAACGTAGAAATTCTGCAACAAGACCTGCTACCAAGCGACCTAAAAAGAAAACAAGAAGAGTTAAAATACACCAGACAGAAACAAATCTTATTTCAAAGACTTAACAGTAATGCCAGCACACATGCCTTCACTTTGGACACAGTTTAGACATTCAGCAAACTATCACCTCATAGCAAGTTTGTATACCAACTCCCTAATTTTGGACTTGGCTGTCAATACCAAAATCATTTAAGCCAGTAATACAGCAAGAGCATTACAACTGCTTACAAAATTCACATGCAGCATTTAACTATTCAACTGTTTTAAAACCATCATATTGACATTTGTCATATACATGCATTCACTCCTGTACCTCTACTCTTAGTTTTTATTGGTTACTGTTTCTGTTGGTCTAGAATGTCTCTGAGTTAGCACAACCATAAGGCATCGTGAAATATTAACTTCAATGCCTTAATCACCTTAATTAAAAATATAACTTCAGCAATACTAACTTTAAAAATTATAGATTTAATTCTATTCTGAGTGAGTAGTAATTAGGACATCTGAAAGGAACAAAAGCATACTTAAAGTAATGGAGACTGCACTATTAATAAGATTCAAAGATTTAATCCTTTGTCTCCTATTTTTATTATCAGGAGAAGTATATACTAAACAAAGAACTTACCATCCTTTGTGCCTAAAAAACTTTTCAAGCCTTCATTTACCAGAGGTGCTTTGTTCTGTCAAAAAGCAAAAACCAAACAGCAATTAATAGCATCTACATGCTAGCAAGAAACTGAAAACTACAGAAAGCTAGTGTTTTGGTGTACTCTGCTGCACAATGATGCCCTGCCCGTGCAAATCACTTCTTTAAAATCTACCTTTGTATGAATTCTATAACTACAAGTAAAAGCTATGTAGCAATAAATTAATTTAGGCAAATTAAATTTATTTCGGAGCTAAAGTAATGTCACCAAAATTCTTAATAGCATACTGATTTTTATTTAATGACTGAAGAGGTAAGCTAAGCAGATAACTTAATATGTTGCTTCTCTAATATAGTGCAAAGTTTAAGGCAATTCAGTCCAGCCTTTTAAAAATTGGAAATTTACAAATCTTCCAGACAAATTGTGGACAATGCTAATTATTAGAACACAAATCAATACCAATCTTCTATTAATTAAAACACATTCAAAGAAATTATGAAAAATGCTTTTTTCTCCCTTGTTAGATTTGCCCTCTTCAATTTTTAAATAGAAATAAATCAATATGCTGTGTCTGGGTTTGTCAGAATTGTTCTGAGATTTTCCAAAACAAATTCTAAATGCCATTCCTAAAGTGGAATGGGTATTCTGGGTAAGAAAAGGATCAGTTATAGATATTTATCACTACAGTTGCAAATGCTAACACACAAGAAAGTGCTATCTGAAAAAAGGAAATCTTGATTAATATTTTAGAATTCAGAGTCGTGGTATGTATTAACATGTCACCAGTGTCAGCAGTGCAAATTTAAAATATCATGATACATGCAAGCTTTTTGAGAAATGGTGAGCTGAAATGTACTGCAGCAAATCTCTCTTCATGCTACTTGAATTATTGCTATTACTCTCCAGGTAGTGTGGGAGGTCATTCTCTGGGTGCTCTATAATATCCTGAAGCTTCCAATGAAGAGATAGCACTGTTCTTCTGTATTACTCTTCCACCACATCTTCTTCAGCTATCTCATGTTAAATTTCTGGAATATGGAATCTCAAATCATAGAATAACTACTTTCCATCCTTACTAACATCCAGATAGTGTCTGTTTCAGTTAAGCATTTTTTCAGAAAAAGCTCAACCATCTAACCAGTAGAGGAATAGAACAGTTTTCCATTCCTCTCCTTTTGAAGCAGAGAGACTAGACATACAGCACTCTCTACTCCCCAGTTCTAGAAAATGGAAAGACAGAGGAAATGAAGCAAAGTCAGACATAGAAGAGGTCACAAAACTGGTATCTGTATACCACAGCAGTACTCTTATGCAACCATGTGTTAGTATCTCATTCCCTTAATATTAATATATTGTGGAGGTGTCAGTACATAGTCCATCTCTTTATAAAGAATTCATCCTTAAGTGTTAAAGCAAATTATCCTGAAGCAAGCCTACAACATCCTTATGAGAAATACCATAAGCATTAGAATACTTGGCATTTTACTGGACTAAACTGCTTTTGAAATATACTTGTCAAGACACCCCAGTAAAATATTTTCAATTTCAAAAGAAATTATTTTGATTTGATAAAATTTTGATCAGTCAAGTAGATATCTTTTTTTAAAAGATGAATTTGATAGAGAAAACATTTAGCTATTCTGGTCAACTGGACAGAAGCCATATAAACCCAGCAGAGACAGACACTTAAAATTATAACTTCAAAAGGCTATTTAACAATTCCTATATTTAAACATCAGGAAACACCCTGATAGTCCTGTTTTGTGTTCTTTATACAGCTTATGCAGAAATACATCTTTTTATCTTGTTACATTTCACAAATAGAAAGTATTAAAGCTATTATATTTATTTCTACACAAAGAATGTTTTTTCTTTCTGATTTGCTTTTTACGGTTCTCTTACCTCTACTTTCTCTTGTTCTTCTAACGCCAAAAACACAGCTGCTCGTAACTCTGCCTGCCAAACAAAACCAAAACAAACAGAATTTCTACAAGCACTTTTTTTCCTAAGCAAATAGGTTGCAAAGAGCTAGCAAGTAGCTAGCTCTCCTCAAGCAACTTGGCATGGACTGTAATCTATATCAGTGCAATTAAAACACTTAAGATTACAGGCAATGTTACTTGAGGCAGAGAATAGTTTCCACTCTGAGAAAAAGGCAGGGGGCAGCATAATTTGATACAAGACTTCCTAAGTTATTTCTTTGTACATAAAAAGATTCCAAAGTACCTAAATTATCTCCTATTAGTTTCTTCTGACAGTTAAACATCCATCTCTTTCAGGCAGCTCCAAAACACCTACCCTTCATTTACAATTCTCTCAGGAAATATGAACAAAGAGGCTGTAACAGCCTGTTAAAAACTAAACATTAAGGTATACAAATTGCTATGATTTCTTGTCAGATTACACAAAAAACCCCAGAATTTCTCAAGGAAAAGAACATAATCACAGTCATTCCAATACTCCTGATAGTAATAGGACTACTTTGAATATTGAAGCTTATGCCTTGCCTACTTTTTAAAATTTTTTGTAAGCACTACAGTTTTTCTACTTTCACTGAACACGTCAAATGGATAACATACATTTGATGAATTAATTTGCCACTTTAATCAACCTTTAATGTGACATTTTGAAGTAAGTCAGTAGATAATTCTGCAGTAATAAACTAGAAAAGACAGCATATTAAAGTTTTCTCAACAGCAAAAAAACATCAGAATTTAAAAGAAAGATTTATTTCCATAACTAAGAATAAGACCAATATAAAGAATGTCTGGACTTTCTAATTTATATTACAAGAGGTAACTAAACATGAAGTAACTGGTCCCTCACACCAAAAAAATAAAACCAAAAGGAAATGCCCACCCATAAAAAACCCAACAAAGCAAAAAACCCCAAACCCTACCAAAAAATCCCCAACCCACTCAAAAAACAACCAAACAAAAAAAAAACCTTTCATGAGAAAAACAAACACTTCTTTTTTAAGGAAACTTCTCTTTGGACACCTTATTGAAAGACAAAAAATAATGCAAAAAGCTAAAAGGATTTCTCACCAAAAGAACATTTACAACGATTATACGCAATGGTCATACTGACACTGCAATCACATTTTTTTCAGTTGCTGGGATACAGTATTCAATCAGAAAATCCTCTTATAAGCAATTAATTTATTTATTATTCTTACCTTTTTTTTCTGGTGTTGGGGTGCAGTTGTCTATCAGTGAGACCCTTTACACATCCCATTAACATAAATGTTATTCTTACAAAATCAGTTTCCATTTAACTTTGCAACCAGCAGCTAATAGCTTATTTATTTAGTCTTACCTTGCTACAATAAACCTGATAGCAAGGCTTTCTTTGTCACTTAGGCCACAGAGACCAAATATATTTACATAATAAGATAATAAAAATAACAAAGCATTCCTGACTGGTTGTTACAACTGTTCAAAATAAAACACACCAGTCAATGCACATGGGTAGGGTAGGGATAAAGCCCCCTAAGGGTCTGGATCATGGGACCAGAGAATAAAATTGTCTGAAAGTAGTTGCCAGTACATCAGCTAATCCAGAGTCTGACCTATTTTGAGATTCTGGAACAATATCAAACACTGACTGTTTTATTTCACTTATCTGGGATCGTTTGCCTGCTCCACTCCTCTAGGTCCAATCCACTGGCTTTTAATTACTAATTAAGATGCTTTTCTTCCTCTTCTTATCTATTTAATGACACATGGTCAATTTCTCTCAGATACTGCTATTCTCCATGAATAGCTGATTCACCTTAATTTACTTTAGTACCCAATTAACAAACTTAAGGTCAGGAGCTGACCAGCAGAAGTTAATGCCACTGTATTTACACATCCCTTTAGCTTACCTGCATCATCTAGAACACCATCCTAAAGCCTTTTCACAGATACACAGCCCTGCAATCAACTCTCTACCGCTTCAAGCATCACAGTGTTTGAAGTTACATGTTCCTGTACTATTCCCACAAGGAAAATTTACATTACTACAACAACACACTGACGTTCGTCCTTGTGGTGGATACTGCTCACATCAAAGAACAATATTCTCAAAATATCATCTCAAAAAATTTAGACAAAGAACCCCACACTAGACTTTGTGTGAGGTTAAAGCAGTAATTCTCAACTTCATGAAGAAAGTAAAGAGCAACAATAAGAAAGCTGAGGCCAAAGGAATAATCACCCTACTAAAAGATGAATCCCATTACACCAGTAGGATGGACAATGTCATATAGGCTTTTCAGAACCTGAGGCCAGTCATAGAGAATTTTAACACCAGAGACCGAGACCACCATCAACCACAACAATTTGCTCCCACCAGCAGATACGAGGGTTATAACTACCCAGATTAATCCACTTACAGTGTTCTTCTCGCACTTCTGTTGTTATTGGGTATGAACAGATTGCATTTCTCTTTAGCCTAGTACCCTTTGGCACCAGTCCAATATGTGTTTCATACATTGTTACAATCTATGCTTGTAATTTTCAACATTTCCCTGTTCCACACTGCCTCATTCTGCTAGCAGTATTCAACACAATCCAAATGCACTGTGAAGAATTTTATTCGCTGTCTAGTAAAAAGGCAGACCAAAGCTTGATATTCTAATTCCCCAGTCATATTCTAAGTCTTCAAAAAAACAGGATTATGTCAACAGAGACAGATGTTGATGAGTAAGTGTCTATCACTTTTACATCCATCAAACCTACAAACTTATTTCTCACACTGTGAAAGACACCCATTCTCTTCTAGCCCTAAGAAGTTTTATTAGGCAAGAGCTCATGTCGATTAAACTGCAATTTGGTTTCACTGAACTCGGCCAAAACAAGGAAGGCTATCATTGTGTATGACAAATACTGACTGTGTTAGAGAAATGTATGGGTCAGTGTTTTGAAACAAAATTAAATTTCTCCTTTTCCTCCCAGGCATTTACAACTCATCAGACAACACCAGTTTTTACTGATTTGTTATTGTACTGTAAATCAGAAATTGAAGTCCATGAAAAAAAGCATGTTTTCCGCACTAAACTACAGGATCCCTCTTTAGAACCTGGCTAAGTTTACCCTATTCCAAATAGAGACCCTCTTCCATGTACCCTAAGGACTGTCCATTAAAACAGCTCCCTCAATCTGCGGCTCCCTGAAAAAGAGGATAACAATTCTTACTATCTCAAGAGGTCCTCAAACACACTTTTTAGGTGGCACCTCAAAAAATGTCAATCTAATTTGGAAATGTACTTTTAATAGGAAGACAACCAGCACCTGCATTAGCAAGGTTATCAGTCTGATTTTTCAGTATGCTTGTAAAGCCATCCACAGAATCTTACACAGCAGATATTGCATGAAAAGTGAAAGGATGAGACAGAGACCATTCAGAACTGAATGATTACCTGTAACCCGTAACTACCTCCCACTTGCAGACTCCAAAATGTATAATATTTAGCAAGTCCATAGACATTCTGGGTGTTGTTTTTTTGATTGGTTAGTTGGTTGGTTGGGTGTTTGTTCTTTTTTTTTTGTGGGTGTTTTTGGTTTGGTTTTTTTGGGGGTTTTTTGGGTTTTTTTGTAGTATTTGTCTTTGATTGTGCTAGAATAGATTTGTCCATGACTTAAACAAGAGATCTGATTTTCTTAAGACAAAACTTGAGACAATATTTTCCAACAGGAAAATACCTGTAAACTTGAAGCACATTCCTACACCTCAAAGCATGTAAGCACATCAGTGGCTAAGATGATTTCTTATAGTAAGTACAAAATCTGAATATGGCTTGCTCCTTGCACTGTCTCCTTTGTACAGCTACACAATTCGCCTTCAATCCTAATATGCCAACACCTTCCAAAGAGACATCATCAAAATATTTTTTCCTATCAAGCTTTATCCGTATTTTCTCTTGCTGGGGCAATATTTCATATGAATGAGCAATGGCTTCCCAACACTGATCTCCAAATGCTGTGGAATACTAGGTAAAAAAGTGGGAACTTGAGCTTCATAAACTGCTTTGTACCTGTAGCACAGGTGAGTATGACATTGTCTGCTAGCTAACAGAGCCTTGCTGTCTGCTTTGTGCATCTCTCAACATTTCTACAAACCCTTAAGAGTTCTGCAGCTTTTGCAGAGGAAGTCCTGGGCTTCTTTTTTCATCCAAGACTCATCAGAAACCATAATATAAATTTCAGCCTGTCAAATGCATATGCTACCACTCCTCTAAACCCACTTCAGCAAGCTGAACACAGTTTTTGAAGCCATACAGGCAGCGTTGTGTATTCCCTAAGAAACAAGGGGTAGGCAAGTTCAGTAAGTGACAATATGGGAGACACTTCAGAGATCTGCAATGGGCCAGCTGGAGGTGCAAAATCTCCTGTAAACTTGCACTCACAAGATGTGCATCAGAGGATGCTGTGGTTAAATGTGTGGTTTAGGGAAGTGAAATGATTAAAGTAATGAGTAAGATTTCTCAGATACCTGCCAGCTAAAGCACAGGAATGTGTAACCACCACCTGCACCAGCACTGTGGAACAGCCCCATGCATGCCCAAGCATAAACAATCTCTTGCATTTGTAAAATTTAGTGGCACATGGGCACCCTTTGGCACAACTTTCAGTATCTCCACTTCCTAACTCCAAAACAACTGTCATACACCTTGGTAGATAGAGAGCAGATGCACTGCTCTGGAAAGAGACATGGCTGAACACTGAGCTGTTTAACTGCTGGTGATCAACCCTAAACCTCTGTGTGCACCAGGATAAACACCTCTCCCAGTCTACATGCAAATCCAAGGCTGGTGTCTAACCATAACCAGGAACATCTCTACCAACATTACTCAGTAATACCCTTCCTGTAATCTCCATCTGCAAAATCTGTAAAGGTTCTCATCCTTGAGCCTGTGGTGGGTATGCTGAAACTTTGCAATCGTGGCTAAGTGACATAAAGGAGTGATTATGCACACATAATCTAGAAATAAACAAAGTCCTGGACTAGGAGTAGAACCAGTCATACTTAGACTCCTCCCTGAGACTATGATGAGGACCATATTGACATTTAAATGTTGAATTACAGTTAGTCTGAAATAATTAAAAATGGTTATATTTTACTTGACATATAAAACTAAAAAGAAATAGATATTAAGTTGACTTTCTAGTATGAACTGCTTCAAAACAAACAACACTTCACAACATGAAGAAAACAGGAGGCTACACTGCAGTTCACAGCACATTCATCATGACAGTTAATAATTCTAAGACATTTAAAAGCACTGTTCATTACCATACATGGATCGAAGATGCAAAAGCAAACAGGACAATTTTAACTGACCTGTGCACATGCTCATATTAAAAAATAGGACTTTTATTCCCTCAAACATCACATTACTTGCACTGAGTTTGTACCTCAGGCATCCAGGTTTTGAAGCAAATTAATAAGAAATTAGCAGTACCACTGGGCCAAAAGCTTTACTAGTGATGTCATATGACCTTAGTGATGATAGCTCCCCTCACATAACTGTAGCAACATCAAGTTCCAGAGAAGATGAAAAATTCAGGTAATATAAATTTAAATTATTCCAAAGCAAGAGATTAAAATATATAAACCAAAACAAAATAAGATAACAAAGAAACATACAAGAAGCATAATGGCTCCTCTTGCTCAGATGACGACGGCCTTCCTAGGAGACAGATCACATTCTCTTCAAGACAGAACACCCTTATTTATACACTATCACACAGAAACAGTGATAATTTTCACTAGCATACAAATATCTACAGTTATATTGTGTGTTTACAGAATTCATTAGAAAGCTGTTTCATTCATCAGACTAATTCCAATGATCAACAAACTACATATAATATACATCAGTACTATATACAAACATTTATGTGTGTGTATACACATATACACACATATTGCATTTTAGAGAATATAGGAACTTCTCAACTGCAAGCAGTAAATACATTCATACAACTTCCAGTTTTCAAAATATTACTTTATAATTACTTCAGTGCTCAAAGTTTAAGACAAATAAAAAATATAAATAAATTTTTAAATGTCATATAAGTAACATTTTTAGCTAAATAATTTACATCAACAACAATGCACCCAAGAAACTATCAAAATAAGAATAAACTATAAACTGCAAGCCATTATAAAAGCGTATCTTAGTAGAGAACCAAATTATGACAGTAAGTTTATTTCTAAAAATTACTCTCATTATGTTACAAAATGTGTGACACCCTGATACATTCCATGCACTGAAATAATTCCCTTTGAATTCTAATCCTTCCAGTGCTTCATACCAATGCAGTTATACATTGATCACATATTTTTCTCCTTAATGTAGCTACTTGAATAAATCATAAATACTTTATTGTAGCTTTCTAGCCTCATCCATCTTGAAAAATGGTCAGTTCTCATTCTAAAGTATGAAACAGGCATCAGTTTTAATAATATGTAAATGTTCAGTTGTACCACATAATAAAAAAAAAAATATTGACATGTAATAGATGAGCACTATTGAAAAAATCAAGTTTAACTAATTTTAATAAAAGGATGACTGCAACTTTTTTTAATGGATGGTGTAATCTAATTTCAAGTAAAAGATGACAGCTTAAAAAGCCTTGTTCAATCTAAATTCTTCCAGCAACAGGGTTTTGACAAGTTATAGTAGAACAAAATCTAAGTCATTAATACTGCCAAACAACACTCACCAAACTCACACGCCAATTAAGGTTTACAGCTAAGAAAAAAACTAGCATGAGTTCTTCCAGTCAAAAGCCTTAGCCGTAAGCACACCAGTTATTAAACAGTAGCACCTTGTATTAAGGAGAGACATCATCTGGCAAGGAGGCTGTGTTTTGTATTTTTCTAAGTCATTTGCTAATTTGCCGTAACGGCACTTTAGACAGTATTGGATACCACACACTCTAAGCATGATACAATACTGAACTACAATAAATTTACTCACATAAAACTCAATGGACTGGCAACCACAGTATGAAATTTCCCATACTACACAAAGGTGGGAATTAAGAAATTATGGTTCACGAGCTCCATGTGACCCAATTGCCTTGCCATGCTTTTTTAAATTACAATTTTACTATCACCATACTTGCATTATTTAATAGTAGATGAGTGTTTAACAGATGGTCCAAAAGGCCTATCTGACATCCATTAGAAAAGCTTCACTACTCTGCACACAGTTACTTGAGCTAGAATCTTCATTCTCTTACAGAACTTAAATAAGGAACATCTAATTTGAAAGGGATCAACAACGTTATTTTGATTATTATTTTGCTGAAATGTATGACTAGTTCAAAATACAGTAAACTTGAAAGTACATACACAAGGATGCTCTCACTTCCATAAATCACTTCAGTTGTTGAATTGTTCTTGAAATACCAGCAACGACCTCTGGAGACTTAAAACAGCACTGTGGAAAAACACCACCATCCCTTATCTGAAAGCTACACTTTATTTCTCCAACTTTGAAGGAAACTTGCTCTATGTTATACACAATAATTACTCCTAGAAGCTTTTAATTTGAACAAGAATCCATGGAACCAATTTTCCTACCCTTTCTGACACAAGCTCAGGCTGCACCAGACTCAGTAGTAGCGTGCACTCCATTATCTTCCGTATATTTTCTTAACATAGCATCCAGGGAACAAATGTTCCCTGTAAGCAGGCAGCATCCCCCGAGAGCTTCCAGACTTAGCAAGCCTTCAAGGCACAACTGAAGCAACCCACACTTAAGAAGAACAACTGCTTAAATAGCGACCCACAACAACTGCTGCTTGAAATTTTCAGTAAGGGCTTTCCGTAAGGCTTTCCGTAAGGGCAGCAGGGATTAACTTCACCCTCCCCGTCCCGCACCGCGCCGCAGCCACTGCTTCCAGCCAGTCCGGCGGCAGCGCGGGAGCCCCGGCGGCCCCGCGCCCCCCTCGCCCTGCCCGCCCGGGACATCCCCAATTCCCGTGACACGGTCAGGCCCGGGCCGGCGCACCGGCTCCACCACGAGCAACCGGGGAATGCCACGGGGAAAGCAGGCGCCACCTCCAGGCCGCGACGCCGAGGGAGCTCTCCAGCCGGGAACACCGGCCGCAAGCGGGACTGAGGGCGCGAGCACGGGAAGCCTGGGTCCTCCCACACTCCGCAGGGCCGCGAAGCGCCGCCAGAGCCAGCCAACGCGCCCCGCCGGCGGGAGGCCCTTTTTCGCCCACCTTAATCTTGTTGAGCACCCCGCTGCTCTCCAGCGTCTGCACTAGCAGGTCCCGCAGCTCCGTGTCCTCCTCCGTCGCCGCGGCCGCCATCTTGCTTCTCCCTGACAACGGCCCAAACCGCACTAGCGGCGGGACCGGCCCGGCAGATTCGCTGCCGCCGGAGACGCCAGCCGAGGGCGGACCCGGGGGAACGGAGCGGACCGGGACGGGGGCCGCCCTCAGCCCCGCCCCGAGAGGGGACGCAGAGAGGCTGCGGCCGCCCGGCGCTTTTGCCGCCCGCTGAGGCTGGAAACTGCGGCGGCGAACGGGCCGCGCGGGCGGCGGGCGGGAAGTTCAAAGCGGGGGCGGCGGTAACGGCCGAACCGCGCGGCCGCCCGCGCCCGCCAGCGGCCCCTCCGACGCGCCCCGAGTGCCTCCCCTTCTCCCGCCGCGCTCGAACCCAAGCAACTGTACGAGGAGCGGCTGAGCTCATTGGGTCTGTTCAGCCTGGAGGAGACTGAGGGGAGATCTCAACACAGTCTGCAACTTCCTCGCAAGGAGAAGCAGAAGGGCACGCATCCATCTCTTGGTGATCAGTGACGGGACCCGAAGGAATGGCATGAAGCTGAGTCGCGGGCGGTTTAGGTTAGATACTAGGAAAATGTTTTCCTCGAGAGAGTGGTTGGGCACTGGAGCAGGTCCCCCAGGGCTCCCCGGGGAAGTGGTCACACACCGAGCCGGTCAAAGTTCAAGAAGCGCTAGGACAGCTCCGACGCCGGGCAGCTGCAGCCGCTCTGTGCTCGGGCTGCAGGGTGAACAGCCCAGCCCCGTTCCGTGGCCACGCTCGCTCCAGCGGCTCCTGACGGCAGCCGTGGGCTCCGGGCAAGGGCTCACCCGCCTGCCCTGCTGCCCGCAAGGGCACCTGGCGCTCAACGGCGCCAAGGGGGGCTTCTGGAGCCCTCGTTTCGTAATAACCATGTTCGTTGTTGCTCCTTAAAACAAAAAGCTTTGTAAATTGTAATGCTTTCTCTGCACAACTACATGTGGCAATTTTTTTTCCATGCTGAAGTGCTTATAATTTTTATTGAAGAGAAGTCCAATATATGACAAATAATCGGGAAAGTAAGTAAGGAATGCTCCAAGGGAGCACGTACAGCTCCCGGGCGAAGCAGGGCTCTGCGGGAGGCTGGTTTTAAAACACGTTCACCGACTGTTCAGGGATGCTCTACAGACTTGGCCAAGCCTGTGAGGACAGGTGTCCACCACTCCACCCCATTTCTGCTGGACACATGGGAGGTACTGCTGGAGTCCTATGCCCATTCCCACAGCTGCCCAAACAATATAGTATTGTATTTTGAATTGAAGAGTCTTTCACTTCAGAATAAAATTGTGTTAAACCCACAACACTGTACTTAAGCACTTAACAATTCCTTCAATTTAATTTTTCAAAACCATGTCAGAAATAAATAGTAGAGAGAGAAAGATAATGTCTGGTGATACAGTTATTTTTATTTGTTCACTAGATCTCTAAACTTAATGGAAAGACAAAACCCACTTGATAAAATAATTCATGAAGAAAAGATAGAGCAGAGGAAGACAAATCAGTAGACTTAGAAGATAGTTTATAATTTGTAAGATTCATTTAGCATTTCATAAACTGTGCCTGCCAGCTTTCAAATACACGTAGAATATTTTGAATCCATTCTACAGATGTTTTTTGAGCTCTGCAAAACAGCAGACTACTATATAGCTAAATATCCATCACCTTGAGGGAAGCAAAGCACAGTCCAGTGTCCTTCTGCAATGCACTGCCCCAAACTGTTTCACATTTGAAGGAAATGTTTCAGTTTTGAATTTATGTAATTCTCAAGTCAACTCTGTGGAAATCATAGAAACACATAGCTACAGGCTATTAACACAATTTAAATAAAATTCAAGCTTTAAAATAATCCATGGACTAAGTCTATTGATTTAAAATTAGGACATGAGAATATACATATATTCCAAAATGTGTGTATCTGCTCAGAGTATTGTAAATGTTTATTTACCACACTTTTAGGAATAAAGTCTAGCTGGATTTGTTTTTTCTATTTGCGCAATGGGAATAATCAAAGCAAAACAACATTGTGTTATGGAGAAAAAAATCTGAAAGTCTCTGTCTTGATTCTTAAATCCTTATGTAAACTGCTGAAAGCTGGAAAAATGTATTCTTTGAAGTGTTTCAACTAATTTTGGGTTGGTTTTTTTTCAGGCTACATATTTCAGCATATAAACATAGAAATTGAGGGTACTACCACATTTGTTCAGAATTTTTTGAGGAGAACATAATTTTCATGAAATTCAAAGGAAACTTCTCAAATATTCTGACATTTCCTCATTTTTTTAAAAGCATCATGAGTGCTAATAGGCAGCCATCAGGAGATAAAAGACAAAAGAGAAACAAAAGATCATAGTAGACAGACAAATATGAAAGTCTTAAGGAGATAGTTATCCAGTGTAGCTGTCCATTGTCTATCTTTGCATATTTCACAAAAACATTTTTTTTAATAACATACACTATTTTATGATATTGTAACATAAAATTTTGGCTTCTTTGTCCATAGGACATATTAAAGCCTACACTATTTCTGAGTAGCTTTGGACTCACTTTGTAATCACCCTAATGGGAAACTTGTAAACAAGATTAGTTTGCACAAAGTGCAAAGTGGTAATTTGGCACAGTCAGAGAGCAAATCCCTGTTGCAACTCAAACAAGATTAGCAAATTAGCAAAAGTGTGTGCACTGCAGCCCAGTGTTTTCACCCCTAATCTACAAAGATAGATTCAGTCTAATAAAACAACTCGGTGTGCTTATGTTCTGATTTAATAGGCAGTGACAAAGACTTTAGTGCCACACGGAGCCCTGACAGTCCCAAGGGGGCCCTACCTGACATCAGGGACCTGGACTGGTGAGTTTTCTTTCCCAGTGAAAAGAGCTGGAGTTTGTGCTCAGAGCACCCTGGCCTTTATCAGGTGCCTGACTGCAAAAAATCCAAACATCGAAGGATGTGTCCCAGACCCCAGCTGACCCCACCTCAAACTTGTGCTGCTCTGACAGTCCCAATGGGGCCCTACCTGACATCAGGGACCTGGACTGGTGAGTTTTCTTTCCCAGGGAAAAGGGCTGGAGTTTGTGCTCAGGGCCACAGGATGGCTGACTGCAAAAAATCTTAACATCGGAGGATGTGTTCCAGACCCCAGCTGCATCCACATCAAACTTGTGCCCTGGTGTCCTCAGCAGCAGGAAGAGCCGCACTGCTTACCAGGATCTGGAGACTTTCACTATTTTTCATTCTTCGAGAAAATTTCTGAAGCTTTTGGTACCTCTTAGTCACCCATGCATCACTCATTCCATCCAACGTATTTTCTCCTTTCCACAGAAAGGTAGGTAAAGAGATTAGTTTTGCCTCATCCTCCTTCCTACCATGTAAATATGAAAACATAATTAATTTTTTTACCAGTTTATGGAACTGAGATGTTGAACAAAGACCTTATTACAAAGACTGTAATTAATCTGTTTAAAACAAATGTTATTTTGCTTGTGGAAGCAGATCTGCCCACATATTTCTTAAGTACATTATTGTAGGATGGTTGTAACATACCCTTTGTAGTTCAAAACTACATGATAGTAATTAAAAATCACACTTTGTATTTATGACCCATGCATCGGCAGAGAAAGAAGGGTTAGAATATGTTTCATAGTTTAACGTACCGCTGAGAAAATATTGAACCAAGTTCTGACTCATCCCTTGGGGCTCCTTCCTCAGGAACTTCCTACTGCTTCCAAACACGAGTTGTTACCACTTCAAACTTCTCTATCTGGAGAAGCACGCCACAGACGCCTGTGTCAGCTCCTGGGCTGGCATTAGTCAGTAGTGTCCGATTTAGAGTCCCCATCGCACTCTCGAAGACCTCTGTGCCGCGCAAAAGCTCAGTATGAAACTAACACCTTTACTATGCTAAACAAGAACCAACCAAAGCAGCAGGACGAGCCAACCACCCACACAAATCACTTGCTCCGCAGCGCACCGCTCCTTTCTTGCCCGCGCTCACAGTGCCCCGCTCCCGCGGTACCCGGCTGGCCGCGGGGAGGCTCCGGGGCGGCTCCGGGGACACCGCGGGGCCGCCGCCAGCGCGGGCGGGCCGCGGGGAGCGGCGGTGCCGCCCCGCGCTCCGGGGCGGGGCCGTGCGCAGAGCTGCGAGAGGGCGGTGCCGGGCAGGGCAGCGCCGGGGCAGCGCAGGAAGGTAACGCGGGCCCGGGGGTGCGCGGCGCGGTGAGGTCTGAACCCGAGGCAGCGGAGGTCGGAATTGAGAGTGTGTCCTTGCTCCGGCTTGCCTCGGCTGCCTCTTCCCGCCCCCTGCCCCCGCAGCCGTGGGGCTGCGCTCCCGCGGTGGCAGCCGGGCAGGAGGGAGCTGCGGCTCGGCCCGCCCGCGGTGTTTCTGAGTAGGCTTTTCTGTGGGAGAGTGGCTCTCTGCCCCTGGGATCCTCAGCTGCGCCAACTGCAAACGTGGGATTTGCAGGCCTAGGACTCAGATTGTGTTTGCTTTCACTTCCTATGCTTTAAATCCGTAAGTCAGCCAAACAAGTGGCATTTCCCAGAGGCGGGAAAACTCTTAATAGTTGTTTAGGGTTTTTTTTACACTTTACATCAGGTCTGGCATCCTCCTGTCGCCTGGAGGCCTCTCGCTTCCGGTGCTTAGGAGATTTGCATTCTTTACAGTTTGTGCAGACGCCTCTGTGGTGATGGTTTATCTGAGTAAAGCTTTCTGCTGTCGCGGTGACATCGGTGCCGGAGCAGAGCCGTGTGTTGGGTGCCGTGCTCGGCGGCACAAGTTACATGCTATCAGTTACAAGTTACAGTTGTTACAAGTTACAAGTTATCAGTTTTCTCTTCTGCTTCTCCAGGAAGCCGGCGGGGCTGAGCGCAGCCCCTGCTACCTCCAGCCTCACCCCGACACCGCTCAGCCGCCGCACTGAAGGCCGTGAGAGGGGCAGTGCTGAAATCCTGCCGTGGCGGTGGGCGTGAGTATTGCCTCTGAAAAGGCTTCGAAGAGCCTTCTGCAGTTACTCGGACCAGCACTTGGGCTTGGGATGCATGGTTAGCTGGGAGTGGACAGTGGAGGTGAAAGTTGCCGGAGCTAAGAACGTTGTTATAAATTAAATTAGTGCTTCTGCCTTACAGTGTTGTGACTTGGTTTGTCTAACTCGTTGTGGCAGATGCCACACATGGCATGCTGACTTGTTATGGATGCTACCAAAGCTCTGGGTATTCATTTTTGTGGCTTTAGATGCCAGGCTAACAGTCCTAAATCTTATCTCTGGACATTGTTGCCGGCATTTAGCATGCGTGCATGCTATGTCATAATCATGGGCATCTCCTGCTGATGCTTGAATGCTCTTCTGCAGCATCTTCTCTTCTGATTTTACACGCTGAACTAAACTGTAGAGCAGGAGATTTTATATTAAGGAGAGGTTTGCTAGTAAAGCTAATTGTTAAAAGCAAAACAGAAAGAAAATAAGCAAGTAAAATAAGAGGTGACCAATAGCTAGAGTCCAAAAGAAGCATGTGCTACATCAGCACTTTGCTCTAGATGGTATATTAGAATTCAAACTATAGTGAATGTGTTAAAGGAGGGTTTCTTCAGTGTTTATTAAGAGTTCTCTCTAGTGTTTGATAAGCCTGGGCAGATAATTTTGAAAACAGCATGGAACCATGCTAACATAACTGAAAGTGACCTTGCCCTGACTGGGTTACTAAAACACACACAGAAACACGTGTTTTGCATTCCTATCAAGAGTAATCCCAAAGCTGTTATTGCACTTTAGAATTTTATCCATAATGAAAATAATGTTGATCGCCTAGTGTCAAGTAATAATTTTACGTATGTGTGCAGGTTTTATTTTGAAGTTTTCAGTTTTCAATGTTATGAATCTTTTGGAACTTTCTGAGTTTTTATGTAACTTTCATAATAAGAAATCACTGTTTCTTATTAGAGGAGAGTTGGTGTAAGATTTGTTAAATCTGTTCTTCTGTTAATTAAATTAGTAATCTAGTGTAATTTTTAGTAAACAGAAGCAATTTTTATTAAAAATGTATGTGATCTATGCATCTTAATTGTTAATACAGCTCATATGGATGCATGTATTTCCTCAAATGCACATCATTCAGATGCCTTTAAGGTGAGATTGATGCACTTTTCACTTGTCACCATCCATGTCACAGATAAATGAAAGGTCACCTTGAATAAAGAAGTCTGTTTCGATAGTGTTGTGGTAGCTGCAAGGTTGTCTTCTGAGCTAAATCCTTAGAGTTTATGTATTGTTTATCGGGGGGAAAAAAGTGAAAGTTACAGACTGGGGGCTTTTAAACTTGCTTTGTTGCTATATGTTCTGCTTCCAGGGTTCAGAACAATATATAGAATAAATCAGCACCTTCTGCTGCTCTGATAGCAGCATTTTTTGAAGCCCTGTTCTCTGTTCCTAGTCATCACTTGAACAAGCATGAGTCCAGTGAGAAGGGATACAATTGCTTTTATGCTTTTTTTGCAACTTAGTCACTAAAAAAAAAGCCTCTTTCTGCCTACCAACTTACATCAAAGGAAATGCTATAATGCTTGCTGGGTTATTTTTCTTCATAATTGACTTCCTTAAGGTGTTTCTTTCACACCTTTGTAGAGTGCAGCTTTTTTTTGGTGATGTGTGACATTACTATCTTTTAAGTGGTACTAGATGCTCTTTGTAGGTAGGGCAGAATTTTACATGAATCTTACACTCCTTACGTCTCTCAGTGCTTTGTCTTGATAGTTTTTTATGCAGAAAAGTAGTCTTGCTTGGTTGGTTTTCAGTTCAAAATAATAGAAAATGAAACCATTAAGCAGGTCTGTAAAGCAGAATCTCACATCATCACTAATTCCTGTTGCTCAAATGATGAGACTGGAGATCACTTAAGGTGCAGAACTGCTGGGGAAATTGGCTATCCAAGACTTAATTATTTATTTGTGACTTTTAATACACTGTATGACTGTATCAATTTCTTTAATACAGCATATATGTCTTGCTTTGGCTAGCTTTTGCTAAAGACTAGTTCTACCTTATTGTTTGCTTTTCTATTAGCACTCTCCAATTTATTTTTAAAATAATTATTACTTTTTTCTATTTTACCTGGTGAGTGAAATTCCTTCTGGTGTTTTTAAGAAACTAGATTGGGAAGTTAACAGTTGGGAACTACTATTTATCTTATTATATCTTCTGTTAGGCCAAGTACCTTGATAATGTGTCCATTACATTAGAGAGGCATTAATGTATGAAATAGAAGAATGTCTTAAAGGTGTTAAGCTTCCTCACAATTTAGCAAAACTTTGTGATAAATTTAGCTGGTTAACGGTTACTGCTGTTGCCCAAACCCCTCATGAGTTTTGAAATTCCCAGACATTTTGCAAGTGGGGAGGCTTCCTCCTTTGTACTTCAGCTCTGGCATGGCGTTTGCAGAACTATGGGCTTCTGCAAGCTGGGTCCAGAGCCACATAACAACTGTGGGAAAATGGGCTCTTCTTTATAATGAACTGTTAATATCAATTACACTGAGTTTTCTCAATGGAATGGCAGAATCAGCCATGTCTTCACTGGTGTCAAAACAAGCTTTACTTGACTGTGGTGAGCATGAATTAAAAAAAAACCTTCATAGAAAAAAAAGAATACAACTTGTGTAGAGGGATAAAGGTCACCTAGGTTACACACAGTGTCTTGTGTAGGGTTGTCATTTTGAGAAAGTTGGGAAGTAGATTTGGTGAGGCTTTCATAACTTGCATGTGAATATGTGCATGTACGTCCTGTTCTAGAAGGTAGCATGTGAAATGACTGGTGGATTTGGGAGACAGTTGGGATTTTTGACCTGTGCCAAGTGAAAGTCCTTCTGTTTGTAAAGGTTAATTTTATTTTTTTTTTATCCCATGACTTCTAAGGTCCATGAAGTATTAGGCAAATTGCTCTTGGTTTCATAGAAGCTATCACAGGTTTATAACAAGAACAGAAACTCATATGGTTTTAGCAGCATTTTAGAAAAATATTAGTTTAGCAGTCAACTGTCACTTAGACAGAATTTAATCTTTGGACATCATACTTGGCTTCCTGTGAATTTCTAATATCGGCCAATCTAACCTGAATATTCAGTAATAAATTCAAATTAATCACTTTGGGAATTTGAGCTGACTACAAGTAGTGTCTTCAATTCCATAAAGTATAGAAAATAAAAGCTGTGTGGAAAATGTACATATTTCTCTTGATTGAATGGTGGCTCTGTTGCAACCATGTTCAAGTAAAGAAAAACAGGAAATGGTGATCTCATCCTTGATGGCATTCGTTTATGAAAATTACCATACAAGCTGGGGAATCAAGCACAGCCCTGAAAAACATCCCCATTTTACCCATAGTTATAAATCTAATCTAGAGTTACTATTACCTGCTATTTCTGACATAGTAGGGGTTTTTTGTTTTTGCATTTTAACATTTAAGTGTGCTGGATTGGTAACAGATTTCTTCTTTCAACACCTTTTTACAGCTCTTTGGATGACAAAATGAAACCTGCAAAACGGTACTATTGGATTCTGGGTTGTTTTTCCATGGCACTATGCTGTTGGAGTACTTCAGATACTTTTTCTCAAAGGTAAGTTGAGCTTTAAAATGAAACATCTGACAACTCATTTCTTAAGTGTAGGTCAGAATAGTTTAACTTTTAATGTAAATTTGTTATTAGGTACTATTCTACACTTAGGTGATTTATAGTAAGGCATTTACATTAACTGGAGAAGCAAGGATTGTACCTGAGGAAACCTTTACATGTGTCAGTATGAAGAAAGAGGGGAAACTTAAATACTATTTGATGCACTTAAAACTTTCCTAATCTTGCTATAGATGACTCATTTAGAGTTGTGATGTAGTAATGACAAAAACTGAAAATTATTTTGACACATATCAAAATATCTGGAGCCATCCCTGTGGTGTGAATTGCACTAACTTTTGCATCATTTAGTTTTTTATTTATCTTTTTTTCTCTTTGCTGTTTCATCAGTTCTGAAAATGTAACATTATTTTTCATATGACATCCCAACTGAGGCTGTATCAGATAGCTGCACCACCTTTTGGTGGTTGTTGTCCCTTGGAAAAATCTGAGCTTCGATACCAATGGACCATGGAAGAAACCACACGCAAGTCACACCCTTCTGTGGTCAAAGCTGAAATTTCTATTCCATTATATGAGGAAATATACTTTCCTGCTTCCTTCTAGTGCTTTGGCAAGAGAATGGTTAGGGGGGGCTCAGTTCAGTGCTGAACATCTTTCAGTGCCTACATTGCACTTAGTGGGTAGTTTAGACACTGCTGATGTTTTTTCAGTCCCCAGGATTTAGGCTCTGGCTTGGCCATTTTGGCAGAGTCAGCTCTAGAGCTACATTCCTGTGCTGTACAGAGCAGGATAACTCAGGTCCAGAGAAGGAGGGGATATCTCTGAAGCTGTATAGGTATTGAAAATGGCTTTTCTTGAATTCCAGCTCTGAGCTTAACTTGCTCTTTTAAATCAGTACTGTTTTCTGATCTATCCTTAGCTAAAAAGTGTGCTCTAGGAGAACTCTTTTCAGCATGACTGACATTGCAGAAGTTGAGCTGCTATTTCAAATACAGATAAAGGTCTAATGAAAAGTCTAATGAAAGATCGTTTCTAAGCAAGGGTCCTTTAAAACCAAGTAAATTAACTGCTCTGCAATATAGGGCAATTTCTCTATTCAGGTTTCTACAGCAACAGTAAAGACCCCTATAAAAGTGTTAATAGTTTTCATTGTGGCTATGCCTGGTAAGTTCCAGAGCTATTCTCCTAAATTATATAGAAAACCGTGGATACATGTGAATGCTTAAGAGAAAATGTGACCATTGCAAAGTAGAAAAACTAGAGGAAAAATCTGAAGTGTAATATAGCATGGAAGCATCCCTAGGCTGTCCTCAGGTTGAGAAGAATTAGCTTGGTCTTTCATTAATTTTTTTTTTCCTTTTTTCTTTTGAGAATATATCCTCTAGCAAGAACTAATGACTGACAAGTGGCTGTTAGCTTCCAGAGAATAACGATTTATTTTGACAGTTCTGCATGTAATGTTGTCAGTTTAAATAATTTGCAATTCTGTTTATTTTTTCCCATTTGTTGTTCTCTTTAATTACTTTGTCTGGTTGCTTAATAACTAAATATATCTGCTGTAGTGTCTGATGCAAGAGGTTTTTCATTTACATTTACTTAACCAGAATAGGTCTGCTCCAAACTGTTGAAAAAGGCCTCTATAGAAAGGATACAACACTTCTTGAACAAATTTTGGAGGGTTTTTTTTTCCCTCTGCATACTTAAGAGATACATAAATATGGAAAGCATATGGAGCTAGGATGCCAGAAGGAGAATTTGCTTAACAATGGGGATATTAGCATGTTTCCTTATATGTTGTTTCTCTTTGAATCACTAGTTTGGAGTGTACCTGAAGGTGTTCCTCTTTTTAAAAGACTTGAAGAAAAATAAATTTGTCTGTCTCTCGACAGTGGCATCCATCCTCATGCCTGGAAAAAGCTGTATTTTGCTCATCATTGGCCAGTGACTGTATGTAAGGTGAGGTTTTTGTGTTTCTATCTTATCCTAAAAAAGGTAGCATTGGATTATAAATGTGTGAACAGATTGAATAAAGTCTATTAAGTATTTAATCAGGGTTATGCCTTTTTAAAGGCTTTTCCTGATCGTGATGGAACTTCTGCTACTTCCCCTGCAATGCAGGGCAGCCATAACAGGAAAGATTGTGGTGTGTTACAGATAGAGTTGTCAGTGTAGGGTATACTGTATACCAAGCTTGTTACAGAATTTGTCACATCTTATTAGTTATACTCAATCCTAGACTTTGATCAGACTCTATAGGAAGACTTGCTTGCCTTGTTTGACTGATGGCAGTTCAGTATTTTAACTACCTACTGCACAATTAGTTTTTTAGCATTGTAATGTTGACTCCAATATTTCTGTGACATCATAAAATACTGATTCAGTCAGGAAAGAGAGCTGTAAAGGTGTTGTGGCAGGTGTCTCTGAGTATTTCTGCATTTTTTGCTGCATTTGGGGGGTGTGAACTCAAAATGAACCCAACCTTCCAACATACATCTGTCAAAGCACAGCTAAGAGGTATACTGTTGCTATTAAGTATCTACTACAATCTGATAAGTCGAACATTTTTCCTATACTGGAAGTATTCAAAGGTCTCTTCCCATACAGTTAAGTTAAAAATGTTAACAGATTTACTGACACAAGGTTAAAGAACCTTGTGTATAATACATTAGCTTCAGGTTCAGCCAAATGAATGTGGAGAGCAATATCAGTAACAAAAGTCAGATGTGTGTGACTGAGACCAATGATCAAGACCACCGTGCTGTTTTTTGTTTGCCTGTTTTTGAGTGGAAATAAGAAAAGATTTGATGCAATTTGTGTCTGATTTTCTGTTGATTAGACATCACTAAGCAGAAATGTTGGTGTTGAAGAGTTCTTAGTGCCTAGCACAAGTCAGTGTTCAGATTCAGTAGCAGTGTAAACCCTTGCTTGCATGAATAAGATGAGAACAACTGGGAAAAAATAAAAAAAGAAAAATTAAATGACACGAAATAAAAAAAATAAACTTCTACCAACCAGTTTTCCCATTGTGTATTTATGCTGATTACTTCTCTAAATTCCAGGGTAGTGCACTTGATAAATTGACAAATAATTTTCACAACCTTCTAGTGAAGTTGTAGTGAATAATTGAAGATATTGAGCATCAGAAAATGTAGGCATCTTTGCACTTCATGTATTTCTTATGATATTCTGTAGTAAGAGGTAGAGAGACACATTCAAAGAAGTACAGAAAAAGGGATATTAAAATCATATTAAGTTACTTTTTTTCCTAGTTTCCCATCATTGAGTCATATGAACAGACAAGATCTCAACTGTACTCCTATAACAGCTTTCTTGTTTTACATAAGGGGAGTGCCTTAATTGAGGAATTAATTTAAGTATTTTTAAGTAGGTAGATTCTTCTGTGTGTTTGGTTTATTTATCTATGAGAACTGGTATTTTTCAGAGTGTAAATATTTTTAATGTTATTATTCAGTTTAAAACTCTTGACATGATGTTGAAAGGAAAAAGCTGTGAAAGAAACAGCAGAAGTAATTTATATAATTTATGGCAAAAAACAGTGAGATACTTTTTTTCTGAAAGTACTTCTTAGTTTATGCCTCCTGTATAAAGGAATCTGATTATAGGCTCTTTCATACACAGCATGTTCTTGCAGTGTGTAGATGAGCTGCATCTTAACTCCTACCTGTTTTGCAAATCTGTGCTTGAAAAGTTTTTTAGGCTTTTGAAGGCCTAAAAGGACTTCTTTAAAAGTTAGAGGGCGCACATCAGCATGCCAGAAATTCGAGAATACATCTCTCCTAGCTGTTCCTGGGCTTTAACAAGTAAGTGTTCAGCTGATGCTTTTTAATACAATTAAGTTGGAAAGTGTTTTGTAATCATATCTTCCAAACTAACCCATTAAAATAGTGATATCATGGAAGCAGTTATAACCCAGGACCTAATTACTGACTATTACAGTGAAAAGGGTGAAGGTAGAAGAGAGATTTTCTTCCTTGTCAAGTGATTAGAAATTCCAGTACCATATAATTGACCTACGGTGGTTATGTCTTATGCAAAGATATCTAAACTAGATTCACAGACCTCAAGTGATTGTGAATTTCATATTCTCTTAAAAAATGGTGCCAGTGGCTAATTCATGCCACATTTTTCAGTAACAAATGTGACTTAAGAGCAACTCAAGGGCAAGAAGAAGGACTTTCCTACTCCCTTTTTATGGAGTTGTGAAAACCTGTTATTCCAGAACTTAAAAGGGAACTATTATTTCAGCTTTTGCATCCTAGAGATTGCAAAAAGATAAAATTTTCTGTGTTGTTGGGTTTTTTGTGTGTGAAATGTGGAAAATCCAGTGCAAGTTTGTAAGTTATTCAGTTCCTTCTCTGTTAGTGATGGGAAGGACAATAAGGAAAGGGTACCTGCTGTCATCTGCCTTTGACTTCACATATGTGCTCATTAAAGGAAGGAGTCAAAAAAAGGACAATAGAATAGAGTAATGAACAGAACAGCCTGAATTCAAGTTTGAATGTTGTGTTAAGCAACAGATGACTTTTTTTTTAATTTTTAATTTTCAATACGAGATAAAAAAAAATCCTAAGTTTAGACTTTGGCAATAATTTTATAGCTGAGTCTTAAATGAAGAATAGAAATACACGTTTTTCTTCTTTTTTTTGGTAAAGATAGAAGTAATCGCATAATACAAAAAGAATTAAAGTGACTAAAGAAGGAAAGGGAGTAATTGTACACTGTTTGAGGGGAAGAAGTTGAAGAGGCGAGCTCTCTCCACAGTTTGAAAAGCAAGGATTTTTCTTTGCAGTTGCCATGTTTCATTACAAAATAACTTATAATTTATTTTAATTAAAGAGATGGCCTACTGAAGCAAGGTGGTTGGAAGGGAGGATTAAATATTTCATTTCCCAGAAGCTGATTTTTTATTTCTGGTGTATCTGTATGTGATCTAGTAGCAGTACTCTCGCCTTTACCAACTGCTGTACCAAGGGATTTGTAACTTGGGCAGCTCAACAGGTGACACTTCTGGGACATATCAGTGGTGTTTCACTTTTTGGTGTTTCAGAGATGATAAAAGCTTCCATGCTTCTGGCACGTGCTATTTGTGCAATGACTTGCAAATAGGCTAATCTTTCTGCTACAGTGTTCCCTCTCAGCATGGTGAGTGCTCTGCAGCCTCACCAGAACTTTGCTCAGTTTTATATGTCATTTATGGTTCATTTGGGTTGGTTTGGTTATCAGATTGCTTTAAAACAGGATAAAACAGTGCTTCTTTTTCATCTTTTTCAAATGAATCTAGGTATATAGGGCTTTCTGGGGTCTAGTGCTCACTTGAAACTAAGTATTTGTACGTCTGTTTCAAGTCAATGGTTGCCTGAGATTGAATTAATCCTCCAGCAGTCAGTCTGTGATAAATGGGAAGGCTGACAAGGAGTGGTTTTGCACCAGCAAGCAGAGGTACCCAGCTTTGCAGAGCAGCATTTGCATTTTTTATGATACTGATTTAAAATGAACATTAGAAAGATACTAAGGCTAGAATGGAAAAGGAGATTGAATTAACCTAGCCAAAGCATGCAGAGTGTGAACTAATGTGTTGTAGGTTGCATTGACCTCCCAGTTCTGCCAGCACACAGGGTAACACCAAGAGTCTGAGGAAACAGAAGAAACTGCTAGGAAGGTTAGTGCCATGATTTCAAATCTGAAATGCTCTGGCTGTTCCATTAGTATGTTTGAGAACTGCAGTTAAAGACTGAATAAAGAGCACAATTGCACTGTTTTTATTGTCACCTCAGTTGAGCAAGATGTTGACTATTAATTTGCTATACTTTGGGCTAGATACCCAAACCCCTCCAGATCCACAGAGCTTGTGTCATGACAGAGCAATATTGTTTAGGCATTTGCAGTGTCTGTTTGTTCAAAATACTCCTTTCAGGAAAAAAAAAGCTGTTGCTGGGTGTAATTGCTTATATTGTTGGTAGCAAGAGAGGAGAAGAAGGAAATGGACACAGAACAAGAAAGTCTTGCAGAACTTGCAGATTTGCTGCCACTGGCCCGTGGCATGTGGAAAGCAATTAGTGAGATTACAGGCCTGTCTCTGCTCTTCTCTACACTCTGCTCTTGCTCTGGCATCACATAAAAGGCATTTTGGCATAATTATGACAGAATGCAGAGCAAAAAAGGAAAGCTATTATTATGGGAAAAGAATGTCTGGGGAGGTTGTTAGTTAATGGCAAAAAGTGTTTACTTGAAAGGGCTGTAATTCCTAAGAAGAATAATCAGGGAAAATACAGTAATGGTATTCTGTGATGTGTGACATGGATTTTTTTTAAGTCTGTTCTTTTCAGGCATATGTCTCTGCTCTAAACAGTAATTAAAGTGTAGGCTATTTCTCCTGTATTATCAACAGTTTTTATTGGAGGCTCTATTTTTCTGGTTTTTGTAGGAAGGTGTTTAGTCTTCCTTTTTTTCTCCATTCCCTTGTCCCTCGAGTCAAAATCTTTAAAGCATAAATCTGTTTTTCTTGGAATAAGCAATGTATTTAATTGCTTGTTTGTATTTTTTGTTTTTCATACAATGATAAAACTAGTCCTGAAGGCTTGAAGAGAGTTTTGTGCTTGTCCAGTGTTATAGTTCATTTTAATGGCTCTGCACTCCTTGAAAAGATGTGGTAATGAGAAAAATACAGAGAGCTGCCACCTGGAATACTATAAACACAGATAAAGCTCTGTTCATTTAGCATGGATCAGGCTACTTTCTGTTACCTCAGAACCTGTCATTTTGTCGTCTCTTTATGCTGTCTGGTCAGATTTCACTGATCTGCTTCAAAATTCTAATGCCAGTGGGTCCCTAAGTGTCATAATCCATGACAGCTTTAAGTAACTGGAGTTCACCAGTTCCTGATTTGGCAAGTTGGCATACCACAGCAGAACCTCAGGCCATCACTGAATGACATTTTACTTTTGCCTTTAAACCTTTACTCCTGGATACATGCAGCAAATACCCTGTGATTTTGTTTCCTACAGATGGATGCTAATGATTGTCATGACCCACCAAAGTACTGGACAATCCATGGATTGTGGTATGATCATAGAGTGATTTTATTTCAGCCTGGAAAGGAAAAATTAAATTTTGTACCAGAATGTTTAGTGATTTGGTTCTGTTGGGTGGGGTTTTGTTTGGTTGTTGTTTGTTTTTTTTTTTTTTTTTTTGGTGTGTGTTTTGTTGGTTTTTTGTGGGTTTTTTTTTGTTGGTTTTTGTGTTTGTTTTTTTTTTTTAAGATCTGAATCTGTCTTTATGATCGAAACAAAATTAAAACCCTATGGTTTGACATAAAACTGAAATACACTTCTGTATCTCATGACTTGCTGAAATCCTCTGGCTGCATAAGCATTTTATTTGCAAACCTCTCATAAGATCAGAAATAGTCTCAACAACTAAGGGAACTATTGTTTCCCTTCCTATTTTTTTTCTCTCTGAGTAAAAAGAATTTGTTATTATCTCATGACTGCTTGTGGCTTTATGTATCTTATCTCTGCACAAATACTGCAAAAGTATGGGAAAAAGTAATTTGCTTCAAAGGAATCAACTCACTGGAATTGATGCCAATGGCAGCAATTCAAAAATTTTCTGGACAAATACAAGTTAAAGTTATGTGTCCTGGAAAAGGAAACAACATTATGTATTGATTCCCTGAGAGTGTCTTGGTGATACTTGCAGAAACATCAGATGGGGCAACAATTTAGGAGGTCATTGCCATTAGTGACATCACGTGCAAGACCCTTCCAAGTCATTGGCACACCCAAATGACTTTTACGTAAAATGAAAGGACCGAAGGGGCCAAACAAAGAAATCATAACAAAATCTTTTGGCTGTCTTCTGAATCTTCATGAGAAATCTTTTGGCCATAATTAGTGTCTTGAAGGTTTTATTTCCGAACCAATGTAGGTTCTTATAGTTTACTTGCATTTTTAAGTAAAATCTCCAGCTATAATTGTGCATATTTAAAATTCAGGTCAATGATATGTTATTTACCAGTAGTGAGTTAGAAGACATCTTTCTTCAATTTTATTTTGCTTCCCTAGGCCTGACAGAGCTGAAGACTGTAATAGGACATGGCATTTCAATGTCACCGAGATCAAGGTATTTAAAACAAAAACAGACATACTAGGCAGAGCTAAGTGCAATTACTTTTGCACATCCTATATGCAAAATCTGCAGTTTATAATATCACTCTTAATGTTTACTGAAGGGTGTGGTTTTTTAAGGACTCCAGAAATTCTTTTAGTGCTTCTGGTACTATTTGAAGTTGCCATCCTTGTGATCATTAGCAGCTGTAACTACTTCATTTTGTGAACATACAGTTTGGCTCATTCAGTTACATCCTCCTTAATAAAATTAGAGGTCCACCACCACATAGGTAATGGATCTGCAGTGACGAAAAGCACCTGTGAAAAGAAAAAGATTCCGTCAGTCGGTATTCTCCCTTCACATTTTCTACTGCAAAATCCAAACAAAGAAAGTAAAAGTTCAGAATACTCTATTCTGTGTGTTTTCTCCTAGGCCATTGGTCCTTTTTTGTTCTTTTTCTACTTAAAAAAAACCCCAGCATATTTAATTCACCAAAATTCATTGATGTGTTATAGACAGGGATAAGAGACTTGAGGTGACAAATGTGAAACACTGAATGATTGAACTTCTGCAGGGACAGTTGAAGGAAAGTGTTGCTTTGAGGCAGAGTTTCAGTTTTAGTATGTTCAGATATTTAGGTAGGTGTACCTGTTAACCTCCAACAACAGCATTTTCAGAATATGGGGGGAAAAGACCTTTTATATTTCTTCAACTAAATGTTTCAGTCATGGACACTGAAAGATGAGGCTTCAGTTGTAAAAAAATGTATCAATATATGTAGATTGTATAAGAAGTAGCTTTTCAATGCTGTAGGTGGATTTATTAATTATGGTGTTTATAGGATCTTATGTCAGACATGAGACACTACTGGCCTGATGTGCTTCATTCATCTCTGAATCGCACCCAGTTCTGGTGAGTAAAAAAAAACCCTAAAAAACATTTTGGGTATTATTTTATAAAAATCTGTCTTAGTAGTTCTTCAGGTGCATGAGAGGAAGTGTCCAGGAGGTCACTGAAGCACTGTCTTGGCAGTCTCATTTGCAGTATAGATCTGTTCTCTTATAAAATACAGCTATTGAAGAGAGGGCTATAGCAGAAGTTTTAGAGAAGTGAAACTTAGTGAGAGAATGTTTTCTCCCTTTGTCCCCAGGGAGGAGAAACAGCTGCTGTTGACACATTAAATCTGAGTAGCAGTAGCCCTCCTGGGATATCACAGCTAGCTGCAAGAGCAGCTTCCCAGATCTCTTTCTATAGCTAGTTTCACTGTGTTGCTGGTCTTGAGAGAGCTTTCCTTTTGGGCTTCCTCATAGAAAAGAAAATAGAAAAACAGAATGTGCTGTGTTATGGTAGCCACTTCTCTGTTCAGTGAGGTTACTGAGAGCAGCTCTGTGCTACCACCAAGCTCAGGGGTGTAAGAGATACAGAAGGATAGAGGCCTTCATGAACACCTGCAGCTGTTATTGTATCTTTTTTTTTTTTTCTTTTAACATGGCTCTGCTGCAAAATAAAGTGACGTATCATCTTAAACCCTTGGTAAAGATTTTGTGGAGACTAAAGTCTCTGTCCATTCTGGAAGCTCAGAGGACTGGTTAAAAGACTTGGGCCTGGTGCATTCTTGGCTTGCTGCAGATGATGGTGCACAGGCACTGTCTGTAGAGACTGCACCAAGCCACTCCAATAGCAGTTCCATGGCAGCAATAATAGGCTTCTTGAATGCCAACAAATCTTTGGCCCGCTATTTCTGCCTTCTTTTCAGAAAGAGCAGAACACTTAAATATAAGTACTACTGAAAGCCTTAAAAAGACAGGCACATCACCATTAGTTTTACAGACATGCATATGTACGTTCTTTGAACTAAAATTGTCATCTTACATGCAAAGTCTTCCCTCCAGTTTGCTGCTGGCTTTTTTAGTAGCCCTTTGCATCTCACTATTACCTGTTTCTGATCCAACCTAACTATATCTCTTGCCCTGAAAGACCTTCTGTTTACTTTAAAACAGTGATGTCTTCTCATTAGTAATTTAAATCCCTTTTGGAGAGCTTTGCCCATGGAAGCCAGACTCTTCCAGGCAGTAAACAATTTATTTGACATGCAGTTGTGCTAAATGTTATAGCCAGGATGAGAACTCTCTACGAGGCTAGACTTGGGAAGATACAGTGAAAACCTTACTGTAAAGCATCTGCTGCAAATCTCCTGACACCACAGTTGCTTTATTCATTTTCTATTCTGAAGTAGTGCACAATTTCTCCAAATCCAAACATAATTTCTTTTAAGGTGTTTTAATTCCTTAAGAAATCTCTGAAGTTTTTAATATGAATGGACAATTCCAAGGTAGGCTTTCAAGTGAATAATATTGTCCTTCTTCTCTGCTTTTTTATGGTGTACATAAGGCATCGGAAAGTCACAGGATGCTGTGATGATGGCAGGAGTTTGTGATTAGATAATCCTTGTGTACATCTGCTGAACTCATACCTATATAGTACATGTGGATTGTGAACATTTGAGAATAATTTTTAAAAGGCATCCACAGGCAGTGTCATGAAAGATTATACTTCTTAGTCTTTCTATGGAGTTTAGAACTGATAGAAACATTTGTCTTTTCTCCAATTTTTGTCATGTTTGAGTTTGTCTGCTGTATACTGTAAGAATTTCTTTTGCACTTTGTTCCTTGCTCTTAGGAAAATGGATACTAGACTAGAAGCAAGACTTGAGAGGAGACCTGTGAAAATTTTGCCACAGACCAGCATAAAAGCTGATGCTAAAGTTTTAGCAGCTTGTGCAATTACACTGTTTCACCCAAAATAAGGCTTAATCCTTTGAGTTCAGAAAATAATTTAGTAGTTCAAAAGTGTGTTTAACACAACAGGTTCCACTAAAACTTACAAAAAGCGTATAGATAGTAATTTTCTAGGCAATTTATTTGCATTTTGACCTCCAAAGATCTTTGTGTGAATATACTGAGAGGGCGTTGTATAATAAAAGCATGATATATATTTATATATGTAATTGAAATGGTTGGAGTGATCTTGCTTGGGTTGACCTTTTACACGTGTGATAAATTTGAATGCAGTGTCCTACTCCACAACTGTAGCCTTTCGGGTACTTTATTTAAGTACAGTGGCTAGCTTGTACAGCACATGTATCTGCCAGTATTGTGTTCTAAAATTTGCATTTTGCTTTTCTCCTGTAGGAAACATGAGTGGGAAAAACATGGCACTTGTGCAGCCACACTTGAGGCCCTTAATTCTCAGAAAAAATACTTCGGTAAAGCCATAGAACTCTACCAGCATGTTGATCTCAATGGGTATGTAAATGAGCTCAATGATCTGGCTTTTATTTCAAGCAGTTCCTAAAGGTTTCAGATCTAGCCTCAAATGCAAGTCTAAAAATCTCACAGTAGAGAGGAAATGAGAATTAGCATGAATTATTTTTAGTACTATAGTTCAGAGGAAGAGTTGTTTCCCTGAGAAGCAGTCTCTGGTCACTTCAGTCATACAAGCCAGCATCATTCTTAGCAGCATCCTTCTAGACAGCATGAGCCACTAAATTCTTGAGTAGCTTTACAGGCTGTATCTTGGTACCAAAAGCTATGGTACCTGTAAAGTTCTAAATCAAGTGACAAAACCCCCCAAACGTCTGAGTCATGCTGAGCCCCAAACACTTGTTCTTATGACAGTGCTTTGCTGAGGGGAAAGGACAAGCTGCAGGCAAAATCATGCAGGACATCCTGGGAAAAGGCTGAGGCAACAGCAAGAGAGGAGGTTATGAAGGGTTCAGTTGCTGCAGGCTGTCCTCTGCTGTTCTTTGTGACAACCCAGTGTGACACTCTTGCTTTGTCCTAGGGGCTGATTTCTCCTTACTGTTCCAAAGCACTGGCCATTCCAGATTCAAAGTCTTGAGGAGACTCTTGTGGCTTGTCTAAATGCTGTATGCATGGCTTCTGGCTGCAGTTGAATGCCAGAAGGTTAGAGTCCTTTCCTGATCAGTGCTTGGTATGGCTGAGAGGATGCTTGACTTAGATTCGTTGACCATGATAGGACAGTCTCTGAGAGAGGAAATAGTTTTGTACAAAGAAACATACCCTTAAAAAATTGAACAAAACAACCCCAGAGAAATCCCAAACCAGCTCATCCTGTTTATGCTCTGCCAGTATCCTGTCCAAGCAGTCTCCTAGACAGAGTCTCATTTATTTTCCATATGCACAAAGAAAATAAGTCTTTTTTCCCTCCCACCTTGGTTTTGAAGATGTCCTTTAAAACTGTGGCAGATTTTTCTGAGGGGTTTTCAGTGTTTGAGCATGTCATATGTAACATTAAAATTAATGATGTCTAAGTCAATTGCCTAAGTAGCTGTGATGGTGTGACTAAAACATTTACAGATGGCACAGTGACCGATGATGTGACTCTGTATCAGCACGTGCAACACTGCAAAAGAATAGAGACTGAAGCATGTTGAAATTTAATTGCTCAAAGCTTATTATTTGTTGTGAAAATGAGTACAATTAATTTTTTCTTTGCTGAAGAGGAAAAAAGACTGAAAATGTTCTGGTTATATATAATTTCTACTTGAAATACAAAAAATGCCAGTGATGAAAAAAATCATTTCCACAAATCAAATTATTAAAAAGCAGCCTTCTGTAAGAATTAACAGAGCATCGTATTTTACTGGCCTCCTTATATCCAGTGTAAAATGACAGTGAAAACCAGCTTGTCATTTAGTCAGCTGGGCAAAATCTTTGTTGTGCCAAAACTGACCTTGGAAGGGAAGGATTGAGCATTATCAGCATTTATGGATTAAATTCTGCAAGATACTCACCATTCCCACTTCTTACAGAAATCACAGACTCATCACATGTTAGGTCCCGAATCTTGCCAGCTTAGAAATGCAAGCCCTCTCAGGACTGAGCCTAAAGGAAGGGGTACACAGGCTACAGGTTCTTGCGCACTATCTCATTTCTCTCATGTGACCAGCTTTTCCTCTTCAAAAACATATTTATTAGGAACAGTTTCTGCCCTGACAGTAACATTGATTCTGATTGACATTCTGTATCCCTCTCCCAGTGTGCTGTGTGTCTCCCACCACGGGAAGCCCATTCTGTGTTTGAATATGAGGGTGCCTGGAATGCCCTCCCAATGGCAGGAGCGCAGCGGAATGACTCAAAGCAGGGGAAAGGAAACAGTGACACTCTGGCACTGAACAGGGCGCTCTGAAACTCCCTTTCTCCTAACTGTGTCTGAAGACTGAACTGTCCTAGTTCCTCAAGTTAAGATGTGGGAAAGGGTTCTTCCTGACCCTACCAGGTTAGATGGGAAGTGCCTTTTCAGAAAATGGCCTTTCCTAGGCTGGCAAACAATGAAAGAGAAGTTGCCTTTGCTCCCATCACTGTAATGCTTGATGGGTTCTTAAGATCTGTTTTAAGTAATGATTATAAAGGTATATTTGCATACATGAAACGTGGAAAAAATGTTTTATCTTTTTTTCAGTTGTCTCATGAAAGCTGGGATAAAGCCAAGCAGTTCATATTACAAGGTAAGAGGCAGTCTTTAATAAAACAAAATCATGTGCATGGGCTTTTTTTTAAGTAGGAGTCAACTAATTTCTGTAGAACAAATGATTTTTTTAAATTGTATGGTTCTTTAATGTTGTGCTTTTTATAAAAGTTTTTGAGAGTTTAGCCAGTGTTGGAAGATGTCCTTGTGACCTGTTAATCTCTATAAGCTTTTTAATTTTTCAGATGACTGCTATAAAGGAAGCTCTTACAAGATTTTATGGTGTAACACCAAAGATCCAATGCCTTCCTCCAGAAGAGGTAAAAACTCCCCTAAGTTTCAAAAATGGAAAAAAACAAACAAAAAAAACCCTTACTTTTTTTAAGGAGCACTTTCTATTAAAAATATAGCAAAAATAGAGTGAAAAATCTTCACTATGGTGAAACTTTGGTCTAGATGTTCTTTGTGTATACAACTGTTTGCATATAGGTATTGTTTGATTCTTGGACTTGGGTTTTAAAGGTTTCTTTGTCTTAAAAGATTTAAACCTTCATCTCTTGCATGAATGCTGTGACCACCCTACCAGAGGTATTGCTGTAGCTGAGCACTTTCCTCCATGCCTGCTAAAGTTTAATTGCTGCATGGCATATTACTAAAACCAGCAAGAGTGAGCTGAATGTCAGCCTTGGTGAGGGTGCTGCTGTCAGAATCCTTCTGAAATAAAGCAGCTCAGAAGCTTATTTCTGAGATTGTTCCAGAGAGCCCATACCTAAAGAGGTCACTGTAGTCTTTCCTTTTGAATCAATCAGTTCTCAAATTGACATGTCTTTTTATTTTTCCTTGCCAGTAATTGTGCTGTGCATCATGATGCAGTAGAAAAGGTGGTAGACAGAGACAATATTCTGCAAAGTATAGGTCACCATATCTGAACCAAAAGTGCCTTTAAAAGAACAAAACAGTATTCTGAACAATTACATGTGTAGATTGTAGAGCTCTTTCTTTCCTTTTTTTTAGCTAGGTTACTCTGCCTTTATAGAATAATAAAGCAAAAAGCAAAACCCACAAGGTTAGCTTTCACTCTTGTAAGTGGTTCCTTCTTAACTCAGCTTGTTCAAGGTTGTTTACTACAGAACTCTTGGCATAGTTACTGCCCATATGCAGGCAACAATTTTTGAAAACCTCCTAAGATACTGTTGCTATTGGAGTGTGTTTTCAACTCTTGCTTTAGTAATGCTCTGAAGTTTTTGTGCTCATATGTTTTTTAACATGAAAAAAATCTATAGGTTACAATATTTTCACCATGTGTTTATAAGTTACTTTAATGAACAAGGGAATTTTAGTTGAATGTGGGTTGGATAGTCACCCACCTTTTGACATTAAAGAAATACAGGGCTAACACAAACCCCAGTTCCTAGCTCTGCTCAATGTAGTTCTACCATTGCTTTTAGTACACTTGGCATACTGCTCCAATTACTTGAAAGTAATGTACAGCTTGGGTCTCCTGTATTTAACAGCTGAAGGTATTGGGTAATGGAAATGAAAAATTACATCTCAGTTCTTTGAAGATAGGCCTTTTTCAGAGTTCTAGACCTGTCCATGCCTGAAGTGCATGATGGAGGTACTTTGAGGTTTGAAATGGATTAGACACATTCTCTGTTCTACATTTCTTAGAAAAACCCAAAATAAACAAACTCCCCTACAACACAAATTCCAAACAAGCAAAAAAAGCCTCACCTCAGTTTCTTTTATCTTGTACATATCTTTTTGTCCTACTTAATTGTTTCAAACCATTTTTCTTACATGTTTTGTTAGACCTGAGCATTGGGGGGGAATTTCTTGTAATCTTTTTGCCATATGAAAGGTCTCCATGCCTGCCTGCTTTATTTGTAGTCAATATTTTTTTCCTAGCCTGTCATGTAGTCAAAAAATGGCATTTCTGCTCCTTCTGTCAGCTTGCTTCTCTATTCTTTTATGTAAAAGTTACTATAAAATTCAGTTTCTCTTCTCATGTATGGAGAATTTTATTTGCCTCAATTCCTGTCCTGCCATGAAGAGTTGGGGAAAAGTGTCTTTCTGGTCACATGTGCCCTTCAATATTCACAGAGTTCAGCCAGAGGTCATCATTGTGCAGATGAGTAAGGGCCAGGACAATGTGTCACAGCATTTCATAATGAGGCTTACCAGTTAGACAAGTCCCAGATTGGTACTGAGTAACAGTATGTACCACAAACTGATCAGAGTGGATGCCTTTTGTACTTCTCTTTGTATTTGTCGTCTGGTAAGTACACAATCACTACTGTATTCTATAGATAGGGCAGTGTAGCTGAAGAATTAATTTATTTTCTCCTTCCCACGAGGCTGATCTTACGCTTCATGTTTCTAGCGTGAAAAAGCACAAACAATTGGCCAGATTGAATTCTGCTTCACCAAAGAGCTGCAGCTGGTAAACTGCACGGCGCTGGAGGGTGGATCCAACCCAGTGAAGGCTCACTTGAAGCTTGGAACTTCGGAGCTGTCGGTGTGCAATGATACTCTGCCAACCTACTATCCTTCAGAGGTCCAAGATCGCAAATGAAGCTGTAAGAGTTTGAGAATCTTTTTAAACAGCAACAAAACCCGAACTCATGTAATATTACAAGCCCTTGTCCATATCACGGGCCTACAGTGAAGATTTCTGCTGGAAAACACAGTTCTTTTGCTATTAAAGGACAGTGGTCCACATGATGGGATCAGCATCTGATCTAGAGCGTGGTCTGGATTTTTTGGCTTGCTTATGGTTTGAATTAGTGTTCAAAAGAGAACTGTGTCTTCTCATTTTGACATGCAACTGTCTGCCATTTTAGCTGCTTTTTGGTTTTTACCAGTGAGTCAGGGAACTTAATTCTTTGTATTGAAAGGATTATTGTCTCTCTGAGATGAGGTGAAAAATTCTTGAGAGGGAGGTACTGTAAACAGAAGGAACTCTTGAGACCTGTCTGGAGGTCCATTTCCAGATGTAATAGCCACTGCTTTGCATAATTGTTCTCCAGAAGTGCAGAACAGAGACCATATCCTCTGAGGTGTTGAACCTTTCCTCACTGAGGGATCACAGTGGACTGAAGACAACTTTTACATAACTTCTTACTGAAGTAATAACATTCTCCAAGCTTGGGCTTTTCTGCCTTAAAGATCTTGGGGAAACTGTATTTGTAGCCTTACCTGTCCTTTGATTACTTTCATGGCAGTAGCTCTATACAGTCTTGAGGAACAACCAATGCTAGAACTTACATGTTAGTACGGGAGAATGGTAGGCTCTAGAAATATGTTGTTACTAATTTTTAGTTGTGTTTGATCATTCAGCATTACCACTGGTGAGTGCCTGCACTTGTATATAAAAACAAGATTGTAACATAAACACATAATTCCAAGAAACATCTTTGTATAGATGAAACAATAAATACTACAGGATTTTCAGTTAAAAGTACAGATGTTGGCAATAGTGCATCTCTACCCCATAATGATGAGTAACATGCCACAAAGGTGGATGTTTCTAAAGGGAACCAAATTTTGATATCTTCCCTAAAGGGCTATATTGATCTGTGTGTCTCAAATTGTGTTTCAAAGAAAGACAATTATGGCTCAAGGAACTATCTGTTTGCTAGAATAATGTTCCTGTGAAATCATGAAATGCTGTATTAGAAACAAATTTCTTATTTTGAGGTTGTTAGAAACCATTTACTCTCATTTTTGACTGTCCCTGTTTCTCTACCTTTCATTTAATGCTCTGTTACCTTTCCATTCCAAAACGCTGTTAGTTTCTTTGGCCTCTCTTGCAACTCAGGTATTTATTTTAACAGTGAAGAAATTATTATGGTATGTCAAACGAGTGATTGTTGGGTTTGCATATTTTTTCTGCAGTTGCTTTAATCCCTCAGTCCTGTTTCTTAGTCAAAGGTAAAGCTGACTCTTGCCAAAAGAAGTCAGCAGATACAGGCATGAGACACAAATGACCAAACTCTGCAGCAGAGTAGATAGTATGGATTCCATGCATTTTTCAGCCTCATTTTCAAATGCAAGAAATATGAGGGAGCTGGTAAGCCTTAAAATTTTGAGGAGAAGATAACATTATCCAGAATGAGTGAGGGAGACAACATGCCAGTAACTGAGTAAAAATTGACTGAGAAAAAGTAAAAGCTTGGCTAAAACAACCTCACATACTCTGAAGTCCCATTTAAAGGGACATACCTGAACTACAGTGTTTGCCTTAAAAAAACCCACACCCACGTACTTTTTATTACAGATTAAATAATTACATTTTCTGTAGTAAACTTCTGAGTAGTAGCAGTAAAACACTATGTATGTGATTCCTCATGCTTGGGTTTTGGCAAACCCTTCTGCTGAACTTTTGGGATGATAGAAATGTCTTTTTAAAGCTACTTACTGATTTTTATACAGAGATGTGCCAAGACATTATGAAGTTTTAAGTGATATATTTAAGGGATGGGATGCTCTAAGGTCTGTATCTGGGCCACCAGAAGAGCAGATGAATGAATGCCATTACCACTTCAGACCAAACACCCTTCATGTTCTTTCTAGCAATGGCTCACAGCCAGTTGTGAGCCTTGGCAGTTGCTTTCTATCAGTGTGTGTAATTTCAAGAGTTGGATTAAGGCAGTTTAAATAAAAGAAATAAACAAAAGTATATTGAAAGCCATAAAATTCACTTCAGTTCTGAAAAGCATAATTCACTTCCTTGTGCAATATAAATTCTGTCAACCTTGAAAATTCAGCACAGCCTGGGGATGATGGGTCCTGTATTCTTTTCTGCACCATTGAATAAATTAACTAAATTCCAGCAGAGATGTGTATGCAGTCTCAGTGGTTTAAAATACTGCTCAACTCCACAAAGGGACTTCGCTTGTTCATACCCTTAGTTCCTGTGCTCTCTCATGCAAGATGTTTAAGCATCCCTTGGCATGTAGGTAAGAGCGTGGGTGTGTCTCCCTTTTCCAAGGACAGCTCCTCTTTCTGGGCCATGGTCAGGTCCTTTTCTCTCTGTTTTTTCTCTCTCTCTTCATGGCCTATACTGAGCCTTTCTCAGCTGCACAGGAGGCCAGTTTGAGCCAAGTTTATGGTGGGGCGGAATAGGAGATTGGGAAATGCAGCTTCTGCTCAGTTTCCTGAGGTACGTGTATCTTGTGCTTAAGGGCACATCTGTCTATACCAGCAGAGAGCTGATCTGCCACTACCAACCTGAACAGGAGATGGGAGAAGCAGAGGGGCCCTGTCCCCATCACTCTTGTTCTTAGTGGGGTCAGCAGCTGGTTGCAGGTGCCCAAGGGATGGGGAAAGCTACCTCTGCAGACTGGAGTGGAGGTGGCAGAAGTCTCTGGCTGAGTCCCTGCTCTGCCTCCTCAGTGTCTGGAGAGTGCTGGGCTGTGCTGCTGCCCCAGCTGCTGCTGACTGGAGGGAGGGGCAGGGGCAGGACTGCTGTGTCCATGCAGCATGTTAATACACTGCAAATCAAGTCCCACCAAGGGGGACAGGCTAGGTATCTACAACTGCAAAGCAGCAGGTTGGGAGGAGGGATTTTGACTGGAATGGGTCCTTGAATTTGGGGCACCTCAGTTCTGGTGTGGTTCTGCTTCTGTCAGCTGGGTTCTGGATCTGGCACTGAGTACTGTTAAGCCAAGGCCACAGAAGGTTAATGGTGCTGCTAACAGTGTTATTGATGCCTGATGATGCAAAGAGAAATTGTCAGAACGTTGCAACTTGCTTTCCCAGGAATGGAGCAATCAATGATGAGGAATGTTGTACTTATTGTAAATTCAGACTCATGCTGATATGGCAGCTTCCTTCACAAGGGTCACAGCTTGCCTCCTGTTCCTGTAAATATTCCCTGTTCCACGAAGTTGCCATAGATCACCCAAAGTTAATACAAATAATTAATTTTAGGAAGGATTTAAATTTCTTGTGCTTTGAAGAATAAGAGATTTTGTATACAGGCTAAATGAGATGGGGGAGATTGGCGGCTTATTTTGTATTTGTGCTATGATTTTCATTATTCCTTACCCCAAAGTACTCTGGAACATCAAAGACAGTTGGAGGAGGATTAAATAGACCTCAGGGGCAGCCAAACCCAGCCATGCCCACAGATTGGTGGTATAAATCAATACATCAATTCATTCAGCATGAAAATCAGAGTGCTGGCATTCATTTGCAATGCTTTCTCTAAAGGACTGATAGATCAGTAATCTTTTATAAAACAAAAGAAATAAAAATGGCCATATTTGATAAGAACTTTTAAGGTGTTATAAAATTCTTAAGCAAGCTGGAGATTACCATAGTGCTATTTTGCAAGAAATACTTTTCTGAGTACAGCTTAATTACCAGAAAAGAGGCTCTTTGCTTAGGTTTTTTTCCATAACTCACACAATTGTTTGTGTTAGAGACCTGTGCTTTGCATGCAAATCAGGAGAGATGAGCCAAAACAAAATTAGCAAGAATTAAAAACACAGCAGTTACCTTGTAACAACTACAATCTCTGTAAGCAAGCATGATACATCCCAGCAGGTACCTGCTGTTACATCACTTACTTCTGAATAATTGAATTTATTGAATAAAACTTGCTGCTGTCAGCCTTGGAGGGACTTCTTTCTATCCAAAATGCTCAGCTGAGGGTGGAGAAGTTGTGTACACTTCCAGCAGAGATTGGAAGAGCTGTCCTGTCACCTGACTGCTGTGATTGATTTTAGCCCATCAGCCCTCCACAGATCCATCTCCCTTCCCAAGATTTTATAGGTTAGGTTATGAAAGCTGCGCATACCCAGATGACTTGTGCTAGCAATTCCCAGTGCCAGCTGTTGTGGGCTTGTGTTCCAAATAACACTGTGAAGGGACTGCCTCTCCTGATAAACCCTAATTTGCAGATATTTGCTAAATGCCTGGGGTATGCATTTGTCAAGGATTTATTAGCCAGGAGGCTGGCTGACTGATGTGTGTAGTGGGAACCATTTTGTTTTATCCCAGACTCCCAAATGTTTGAGACGTAGAATACTCATATCCTACTGACGGTGTTGTTTTATACATAACAGCTGTCCCTGACTTATTTTTTATTCTTCAACCCCTGGATACCTTCAGAGATTTCAGTCTCACAGTTTCTGTGGGATTTAGAGAGCAGCTTGTCATTTCTGAAGCCTACTGCAGGATAATCACTGTAATAAAATAGCTCTGGGACAGAAACTACCCTCTCATTTCCAATGCCTTGTGTTGTTTTCTCTTTGATTCCCTTCATTATCTTCAGTGACTTGAGGGATGACTCGACTGTGCTTTTGATCTTGCAAAGTAACTGAAGGCACAGATATTGTAAGAGAAAAAAATCTCTTGAATCTCATGGACAAAATATTCTCAAAATAAACACCTATTTTCTCTCTCCATTTCTTCCCCTCTATGACTTTAAAGGATTCTAACGGCAAGGAATCCTGCAGGTCTGAGAGAAGGTAGGTGTATTGATGGTTAGCTTTTAATCCTTTATTTGTTACGTGTTTGGCATCTGGTTTTTGGCCAGCCTGACTGATTAACTGACTTGCTCTCACACAGCTGACCAAGAACAAGTCTCAAAAACTGATTAAAAAAGGTGGGGAAAATGGATATTTATTAAAGCAGTTAACAGTCTGGGGCCTCCACAATCATTTAAACAGAAACATGGCATGACTAACCTGGTCTGTCTGGGCAGATGGGAGAACAGGGAAATTGGGGTATGTTTTCTTACTTCGCTCTGCCACCAGCCCCCCTGCAAGTGAAATTCAGCTTGAAATCTGATGGCAATTTTAAGTCTCACAAATTAAATAGGACTTTCATGTATTTGCTGTCTGCAGAAGACCACTTCATCCTCCCTAGCTCTGGATAAGTAACTGAAGTCTAAATGCTTAAAAATATCATGGCTCTTAGAGGTAATAGAACGTGTGGTCCCTACAGTGCTCAAAACTCTGGTTTAAGCAGCTGAGTTCCTTTTGCTTACATGGTGTGAAATGAGCAGCACTGCAGAGAGATGCCTCATGCAATAGCTGGACTGAGTCTTAAATCCAGCTTCTTCCCAGGGTGGCAAGGAGGAATGTCCTGCTGCTCTGCTGCAGCCCTTCCTAAGTGAAACGGGTATGGCATTCCTGGCAGGAGTGCAGACAGCACTGCTTAGTGTAAATGAGTACTGCTTAGTCATGTGGCACAGTCACACTCTTCCAGTCACCCCAAAGAGGTTTCTGCTGCTACAAAAGGCATCTGGAGAAATTGCTGAAGCAGGTGTTATAGCAGAGACGAGAACCAAGGGCTTCTCCCCACTTCAGGCAGTCTAGCCAGCTTTCTTCACAGCTTCTCAAGGAGAGACTTGTAGGAGGCCTGTGCAGAAAAAAAAGCCCTCAGTCTGGTGATTTGGATGCTCAGAGGGGAGGAAGAAGTCCTCATCCCCATCTGACCCTGCCAAGGGGAGAGTGCAAGGGACCTCCTCTCCTGTGGCTGAGACCACCGCTTGGCTTGCTGACTCCTGCAAACAGCTCCAGCACTTTCAGCTTTATGTTAAACACAGTGGGTGTTGTCTTTCGCGATGAATTTTATCCTGTTGGAATAAGTGTCATGGACTCTTAGAAAGCTGCCCCAAGAACTGATAGGTGAAGGAATAACCTACCTGGTGAGGGAGGAGTGCATTGAGTGCTGAAACTTCTCCTCACCCAGATGGATGAGCCTCAGCAGTACATATCCAAGTGTCTAGGGAATGTCAGAGCAAAAGGAGAGGTAGGACCTTGCAGAACAAAGTGCCAGATGAAGCAGAGTTTCACAAAATGAGATTTTATGCTTTTCATGCCTAAATTCCCCCAAATTTCACAAGAAGCACACATACTTTTTCTCATCCATTTCCTAAAATTTTCTTAGCAGTGTTCTGTGTCTTTCTCCTTCTCCAGTTGAATTCTGGTGGAAGCTGCTAGTGGTCAGCGGTGGAAATTTTAATTACTGGCAGTTTATTTTATAAGCCACAGGGAGCCAGACCGAGATAATTCCATAACTCTAAATTATAAATTATGTATTATCTAATAGAGATGCTGAAGTCCCTTTAGGCTTGCAAATCAGCCAGTTAATAACTTTTTGGCTTAGACATACTGAACACTGTAATAACCTGATGTAATTTTGAACACTGCAATTAAGTATTCAGTTTAAAAGACAAATTGAGACTCATTAAAGTCAATCAGGGAGAATTACACAAACTTAAATTGCAGATATTTATCAGTTTCTCAGAAAAAATTTTATTAGCTATTTTGAAAGAAAAAGCTGCTGCTTTGTTATTCTCTAGAAGTCCTGCCTTCTCTATAAAGAGCTTCTAATGAGCTGCTGTTCCAATCCTAATGTTTTTTGGTAATCTGACTGCACCGTGTCATTATAGGTCATTGTGAAATTAGAAAGTGAGTGTGACAAGTAGATCACACTGGCAATTTCTTAGCAATTTATTTTAAGATTTTGCAATTGTGATGGCTAGAAGGAGGCAAAACTTTATTTTAGATAATGCAATAGGAACTGATTCAGAAGCCAGTAACTTCGAGTACACTGGACAGAACAAAACCAAATAAACAAAGAAAACAAGAAAAACTCAGAAAAAGAAATAGTGAGATTTTATATCCTTAGTTCATCATGTTTGCTTAACTTAGAAAATGCTGGGAAATTTCCAGTATTTTAGAGCTCAGTAACATAAGTAATTCAAAGACCACTTAGTTAAATACACAACGCAGATATTCAATTATTTATGATTGTAATTTTTAATGATTTTAATGCCACCCACCTTTGTAAGCTTTGTACTATATTTATCTTTTTTCCAA